GTATGTAATACTTAGTAACAAATTGTAAAAATGTCTGACTCTGGGGAAATAATTCAGGCAAAATTTATTGTCCAATGTTTTCTAGTAATATTGTAATATTTTTGTGAAATCCTGTATTATTCTTCTTGAAATTCTTTTCTTGTTTTTGATTATGCTATTTTGTTATAAATTTTATTTGTAACAACCATAGGTCTGTACTTCAAATTTGATAAAGAAAAATCTATAATACAATTTTTGGCAAGAACTCCTTTTTTCTCCCTGTTTTATTTCATACAGAGTTGTCAAGATTTAAAAGGACTACATAAAAATATGACATCATTTTCAATCGCAATATGAATTAACAGGGGGTATAATATCCTTTACTACGTAGACAATTTTTATACAAGTTAAATTTAGGCAATGGTAAATTTAAAATTTCTATAGGAATTTTGTTATAGTAGTGCACACCTTGGCCCATACATGTTACTAAAACTTTCTTTAGCCTGCATGAGGCAAAACAAGTTTCTAATATTAAAATTATGTACATGACTATGTTTCACGTAAATGTTAATATTGTTTCTAATATAAAGTATACAATTGTATAAAAATTGGGAGAATTTCTTTGAATTTATCTCTAAGTGATGTTTTTGAACCTATTTGATAAATGGCTCTCACTGCTCATCTTTGTAACATAAATACAGAATCTATATCTCACAGCACCCCACAGCAGAATACCGTACGACATAAAACTATTAAAAAAATAAAGTATACTGTCCTGGCATCTACATCTGTGAGTTCTCTGGTTTTTCGTATTGCACAGGCAGCTGAACTAAGTTTTCCGGCCTATAATGAAATGTTAGGATGCCATTGCCATTTAGAATCCAGTGTTACACCCAAGAAAATTGTTGAATCAACCAACTCAAGCTTTTCATCATTAAGTTTGATTTCTGTTAGTTCTGCTTTTACAATAGGTAACATAAACTTTATACATTTCGTTGTTTTAGCGGCTAGCTGGAGATTATTTACAGTAAACCAAGTCATCTGCGAAAGAGCATTGTTTACATTGTCAAGTTATTTTTACATCGATCAACATTAAATGTTAAAGAAGCGTCGACAATAGTTCGAAATAGGCTCTGTAACTAATGAAGTAATTTTAAAAATTCTGTCATTAACCCGAAGCTACACCAACGCGGGTGACAGGCCACACCTCATGCCAGTTAATTTGCGAAAAACTGCTAGAATGCTATATAAAGTATAAGTAAAGAAGTTATTCAATTCAAAATGATTCTGTATAGCTCAGAACCATTTTTATCTAAGCAGAGATTTTTTTAAATTAACTAGGTTGAAAGAACCATTATTATTATCGGTCGCAAATTAAAAAGCACATATCAAAAATGATTAAACTTTAAATATAATTATGGTTAATTAGTTTCCACAATCGAAGTCAAATATTAGTACATAACTAATTCAATATCCGTTATTCATTATGAACTAATATCATTGTGATTCATGAAACTACCACGCGGTCAAGTCATTGTTTCCACAGTTTTTCCTGTTAGTATTTGATAGATCATATGACGGGTACTGAATTACTTGCGGTTTAAATCCGCAACCGGCTGCTACCTATCGATTTTCTGTTTGCCTGGCATATGAATGCAGGAATTGAATTGTATATACGAAAGAGTATTTCTTTAGAACAGTGAGAATATTAACGCCAGAAGAACAACCTTCATTGAGGAACGGCATTCGAAACTAACTTTGTAATATTGTATGGATGTCTCTAATCGGCGTTCATATCAGATTACGTTAAAATTAAATGGTATGATACGAGTCGCGGGATTTTTAAAAGTCGCTATTTGCTAACCACGGCCTTTTAATTAATCCTATTTATTATATACTGATACATGAATTTAGTAGTCAGTCAGTGTTTTGGAAGATTTACTAACCATTGTTTCTAAATGTTCTGAGTATTGCCACGATGTTATGTGAATTCATACCTATTGTGATTGTCTATTTTAAAAGAATAATATATATAAAAGTCAAGAATTTAGCATAATTAACTATTTAATATATGAAATATATATGCTTAACATTTTTTTATAATAATTTGTACCTATTCAAACTAAAACAAGTTTGGTTGTAGTTACTGTGAAAGTTTGTTCTCTGTACGCGCGATATCTTGAGATGACATCAAATAAAATGAACTTTCAACCACAATGTTGGCAATCCTACCGACTTGATTTGACCGAGGACGTAATTCTAGATTCTTCAAGTTTTAGTTATTCTGAAAGCCTTACTTATGAGCAATTCTCAAACAATATTTATTGTATCCCGTTAGTTTTTGACAAGAAAGATCTTACGATACAATACATCATATTTGACTAAGTATACCGGGTTTCGGGTTTGACTAAGTAACCCGACAAAAACTGGATGTATTCACTGTCGACAAAAAATAGGCCTATGGTCATATCGTACCATACAGCATCTGACTATCATTCGTGAACAGTGAAAACGGCCAGTTTTTATCGGGTGGCAAAACGACAGCAATATAACTATTTATTATAAGGGCAACAATAGCGTCATTTATGAGAAATACTGCGTGTTTAGTTGTTTTGTCAACTTTGTTGGAAGAATACTCGATTATTGAGTAAATGAACAAAAAATATTTAATTGTGTCGTTTAATAAAATGTTATTTTGTAGTTTAATAACGAAGTAAACGTAAACAGACCCTAATATATAATAAAGTATTTTAAATATTAACTCCACGGGTAACAGACGGAATATTAAATATGTTTCGTTTATAAAAACGATACAGGCTACGCTCTGTAACCGGGTTCCGAACTCTGAACACCCACCCATCGAGCTGTCGGCCTTGAACGCAAACGAGTCAAGGTCACAGATTTACTCCGAGCTTTATTTAAAGTCAACCAGCCCTGCTTAATATTGCTTCTATTGTAAATGTTACGACAATAGTTTAGGTTGAGTGCCTGATTCAAACGTAGTGGGGAAAAGAGGTTATTAACCCCGATGCGTGAACCAATTTGGAAATTTGTGATGGACTAGGTACGATAATGGCGTACAAAGCGCAACGCTCCCTCCCTTGTTATAATTAAGGTTGTGTTAGCGACAGCACAAATAGATGCGATGAATACTATGGACCCCTATACCATAATATATTGTATAATTAGTTAATTTGATTTCCCATTGAATCCTAAATTATTGTCACAGATAGTCAATTGTGTCGTGTATATAATTATGAATATTTATGCTCTTTATTACACATAATATTTTATCATACGTAATTTCCTGATGGACATGTCCACCACTGCTGTTAAGATTACTTGTTTACTTAGAGAACCGGCGGTTGAATTTTTTTCCGCATGTGATTGTGCGCCAGAGATAAGTCTCAAACCCTACTATGCTATGACTAATGTCACTGTTATTTGTGTTATATAGAGTTGAGAGTAACGAATAGGATAATGAACGATAAATGCGACGATGCGCTAAGAATTCGGTATGCCTGCTAATGACCAACGATAACTTGTGCTTTCTTCATTACTCTTATTTTAAACGTCTCGAGTGGTTGGTTATAGATACTTTTACGTTACTAGTCTTCTAAAGTGTTTGGTATAAGTGATATTTGTTTATAAATACTATGTAAGTTTTATTTTTAAGGCATTTTACTCTATTTTGATTTAAGATGTTATAGTTAGGCTTCCTAGTAGTTAATTGAATAAACAGGCCAATTCTAAATCTAAGGTAGAATTTCCAGATCTTAAAAAGTTTTGTTTTTAATATTTAACTATACGCTTGACGGTCATAATATTAAAAAACAGTACTAAAAATATTTTATTTTCCGGTAACATGGGAGAGATATATATAATTTCATCCGAAATAAATTTATTATTTGTCAATAAAAATAGATAGATAACCTAATACGTAGAATTATAAATTTCTCTTTTATCCAGATGAAATTTGTTTTAATGATTGATTAAAAGAATAATGCTTATAAAATTCACCATTCCCAAGTGCCCGGGATGGAATTCGCACACATCACTAGATTTTAAGATAAAAATCAATATGGCCTTGTGTGGATGCCAAATCGATCAAATGTATCGTAATTATTATTTTTATATTATTTCGCAAATTAAACTTTACGGAAACGAAAAATGGAATTTATGTATTTTATGAATGAGTTCTTGGTATTAGCGACTTCATTAATCGATCTATTTCCAGTGGTAAGATGAATGGAATACAGAATGCACATTAGTTGATACTTCAGTGACAGTTATACAGATACATAAATACCAACATGTTGATGGCACTTTGATAGGATACTATTTTAGTCGTCGGTTAACATTTATTTCGAGCTTATTCCCAGTGCCCTGACCTACTGTCATGCATTGTACTCCAATTTAGTTCCTCATGTCTGAGTCGTTTATTTTTGATTAAAGCCGATTTGAGTGCCAAACGTAGGTAAGGAATTTCTCGATATACATAGAACAGTATTTGGATTTAAATATTTATATATATTATATATACTTGCATATAACTTAGTATATATAATCTAAGTCGTATATACTATATAATATTAAAAAAGAAGTTACCAAATACTTTTGTACTCATAACTATCGTAAAATAATTTGTTCATTACCAATGTACCACAGCACATTATAATTATCATTAATGATGTTTAAGGATGATAAGGAATAACTATTTATACAATTTTTTAAAGTCTAAATATGAAAGTATTTTTATATATTTTAACAAATATAATATAATATCACCATTAATCCTCGTAAATAAAAAATCAAGTGGTGTTATTTTTATATTAATTTATGCGCTGCATAATTTTATATGCGTAGGTGTATTTGTATATACAAATTATTGCATCAGCTCAGCGTCGTCCTAGGTGTCGTCATTTAAAAGAAGGTTCCAGATGAGAGACATCTAACTTTATATGGATTTATGTGAATAATAGTGTCCGTCGAAGACATTTTTACCTTAAAACTCTCTTAAATATTCAAGATAGTAAATTAAAGGGATTTTAAGCGAATAATGTATCGATTTTTCTAATAGTTGACTGTGAGAGAATGTCATAAATTTTGAAAGCTAACGATATATGTTTATCATATTTACAATCAGTTGTAAAAACATCCATTAAAATTGTCTTTAGTTTAAAGCTATACGATACGAATTTGACATTAATTAGTGCTTTAAGGCGTCATTAAACCTTAATGGACGTTTGTGCAACTGACCGTTGGTATTGTAATTGTGTCGAGCAGCGTATAATGTTTATATATGTTCACACAGACAGTAAGCATGGGTGCTAAGCAGAGCAAGCGCTCGGTGGACATCAGCGGGAAGGAGGCAGAGGGCGCGGGCGAGGTGGCGGCGGCCGGCGCCGGCGGCGAGGGTCGCGTCGAACAGTTGGCGGACGTTGATGCGCTCAAACCGCAGCTCAACGGTGACGCGCACATCCACGAACAGACAGTAATCATCGCACATTATTATTTTGAATCGACCTCTATTGTGTAATGTTCGTGTATACGCGTGGCGTATTTACCGATAGTTCTCACAGGTTTCATAAATATTTTGTTAACGGTAACGGGTTAAGGTTGTTAAGAATTGTAGGGAAAAAATATACCTACAATTATTAACTGTAATTTAAAACTCCTTTGTTGCTGCTAAGTAACGATAGTTATCACAAAAATTTAGATTGCGCGTTTTTTGGTCAGATTGAAATCGGTAAATGACGGTGTCAGTTTTTTATTGACATTCTGCTGGTCGCCGCTGTGAATTGTTGTAATCTTCTTTACAGTGAAATATCGACTCGAACAATAATTAGAAATTGTTTCGAATCTTTGTAAATAACACTTCTATTTTTTTTTTAATATTAATTATTGAAAATACTGATATTGTAAAGTTTACTGTTAGTAAAGTCAGATTGGCCATTCCCATTTAGTTACGACTCTCAACATAAACAAATTATATTATGGATATTTAAAACTTAATACAATAGATCAAATAAGTACACCTTAAATCATGCATGTCACAGTCCGTGACTGAGTCATGGTCCAACAGACTTGAAAAAAATATAGACTAAAAACACATTTATCTATGTTTAATTTGACCCGGTCAGTTTTAGAATTTTTGCCGCAGCGAAAAGTAATTATAACATCATTTATTTAAGTAAGTAAAAAGTACTTGACATAGTTTAATCGGTTTCACAAAAGTTATTTCACACAGCGGAGTTAAAACTGCTCCAAAAACCTTTTGAGTATGCTTTTGTAATAATTTATAAAAGATTGAGTGACGATTGCAAAAGGAATTTGTAATGACCACTGCTCAGAAATGCATCCCACGACTTCCTGTCTAGATAAAATTCATTGTCTCAGGACCTCTGTGTCTGTTATTAGAAAAAATAGATTCAAAGCCCTGTTAGTATAATCTACTCCAGAGCTTGAATGAATGAATGAAATATGCTTTATTGTACACCAATACACAATTGGCGGCCTTATTACTAAAAAGTAATTTCTTCCAGGCAACCTTTAAGCTTCCCAAATTAATTTTATCTCGTAGACCATTTTAAAAAATTTACTGGTTCCCAAAATTCGTCCAAAATGTGAAGATTATGGCTTACAACTTGTAAACCCCTTTTTTTATATCACGCGAACGTAGACCCCCCATTGAATTCCTCGTGGACTCCCGGGGGTCCACTTAGGGAATCACTGATCTACTCTATAGGTAGTTTGACCGTAAGATTGTCATAAAAGCGCCGTGACTTTGTTACAGATTTTTATTTTGGCATCAAACAATCACCTAAAACTAATTAAGTGATTATCTCAAGCTTTGTACTAAAGAACTGTCCTAACATGACTTAACGTGACCTGTGAGACATTAATCAATTAATATAAAATAGCACTTATTACATTATTACAATAACGAGAGTCAAGATCGTTTATTGATATGTCGCTATTTAAAAAAGGAGGAGGTTCTGTGACTGGCAGTATATATTAAATTGTTTTGCTTTCTAGTTAGCTTTCCGCCACCGGTTTCGCCGACTGGTCCTATATTATACATATAATGTTTATATAAGGTTTATATTTTAAGTCTTCCTCTTGAATCAATCTGTATATCGATAAAAACCACATTAAAATCCGTTGCGTAGTTTAAAAGATCTCAGCGTACAGACAGCGGGTGGCGACTTTGTTTTATGCATAGATACCTACATATCCACGATAACTTTCAAGTGTAGACGGATTTAGATGGATCTTTTTAGTTAAAAACGTGTCGCGTGTATATGAAGTTTGTTAAAGTAGTATTTTGGAAAATCGGATAAATAATGACCGATGAATTGTCACCTCGATTTATGACTGGCTTAATTATGATCAATTTTTGAAATTATCAAGTCGATTAAATAAAATAAATTGATTTCAGTAATTTTTTAATCATTTTTTTTTTTTCATTTAAATATTATTTGTCGACTTTTGGGATTTGTTTTTATTTTAGTTTGATCTCATATTGAATATCCTAAACAAACATCTTAAATGTACTACTTAGGCTTTACTGTTTAAAAAACTATATTACTTAAGTATAAATATCCCAAACAAAGCATTCAAGTATAAAAACTATATCCAATATGTCATATAAATGTGTATCACGTCGCCCGCGTCCCCACTTATTGATTTGAATGTCCATATAGTTTCGACCCCTAAAATTCGCACATGGTGTTTTAAGTAAAGGTTCCACTAAATTTGGTTACTCATCCTGACCGCTCATGCCTAAAATTGTGTGCTGTTTATTGTGTCGATGTAGGTAACCATTATTACGTAATTTTTCGTATTTATGTACATAATGCATTGTTATTGTTTTTATCACAATAATAATAATTTTAAAGATAAATCATGTTTTGTTTATTCGCACTTACAATTTTATTATTCTTATAGATTACCTATACTTGCGTATGACATGATAATATTTTTGTAATGTTATATGGTAATTTGAAAATTTGTAGCGTAAAAATAAGTAATAAATGCAAATTTCATGCTCCTTAACTACTGTGCGCTTGCATATTGATGATCATTGGTCTCAGCTATATGGATAAATTTTGAAGTATTTAACGTTTATTTAAGGATATAAAAATTAAAGATGATAAAAATAATGACATACATATTATAACTGAAATTCTTCATAAACCCGTAACTGTTATCTTAATATGAAATGAAATCTTTTTACTTCAGGATAAAGAAAAACAACTCGATAGTGGTACACCCGAAAACGAAAAAGACGCCACCACAGAGAAAGAAGCAAAACAAGAAGAGAGTGAAGAGAAGGAAGCGGTCGTCAATGGCGATAATGCTGAACAGAAAACAGAAAATGGCGAGTCTGCCGCTACACCAGAAGAATCGAAGAAACCCAAAAAAGAAAAGGTATTATTATTATATACTAAATTAATCACATAATTAGGGAAACATTTATTAAAAGATTTACGCCAGTCACCTCTCCCGGATTCTTTGTTTTTAAGCAACTAAAATCTCCCTTAATTATTAACGTCTTAATGAATACTTTTTTGTTACTTCTTAAAATAACCTTTAAGAAATTGCATGTGTGTGCGCTATTTGATGTGTATTAACACTTGGCATGTCACGTGAACAGGTGAAGAAGAAATGGTCGCTTAGGTCGATCAGCTTCAGCAGAAAAGAAAAACCAAAACAGGAGAAAAAACAGAAAGAAGATGAACCTAAAACGAACGGTGAACCCGAAAAAGTACCAGAAGAGGTAAGTTTTAGCAAACTACTAATAATTTTTTATAACATTCTATCACGTACTTTGGACAAAACGAACAACGAATATATGTAACTTATAATTGTTTTTCTTTTTCAATATTTACGTGTCAATATCGAAGTGAATATTTTAAAGTAGAATATATGATCTAATGTTTGTTTATGTAGAATTACGATATTTCTCTCCAAATTGTAATGATAACAAAAAGGTTTTTATATTTCGTAAAAATCTCTAATAGAGTAATCAATTTTATATGGAACTACACTATTTAATTATAAAATATTTCTAACTCTGCGCTTTCTAAAAAAACGCGCCGATTTGTGTACGCATCAACACATCTACGTTCTCTATTTTTTGTGGCGAAGAAATCGTCTATCGACAACAATAAGGGGCCCGCTATCCCATTATTTCGCAGATCGTTGTAAGTAATGTACCTACCTACCTACTCACGACGAGGGGAAGACGATTGTGCCCATATGGGTGTATAAAAATTGAGCGTAAATTATTTTTGTTCACAATCCAGTCATTGGCCTTCGCCAGGCGAAAATCTGTAGCGATGTGAAATCGCGCACACGTGTTGTCGAAACTGGTACGCGAAGGCAAAGGCGCTCGCCGAGTACCGTTCATCAGACATGGTGTCTCTCGAACACGACTCCTTGTTGGCTCGCAATAACTATAAAACAAACGTTAGTGCAGTACTCGCGTTCGCTTATCTAGTGACAATTCTTATTTTCATAAGTTTTATAGGAGTCAATCGTCAATCTTAATTAATAGTAATTCTATCTCGACTTAGTTTTTGTTACTCATTGAAGTATTATTTGTTCAGTCTGTGCGACCTTGTGTTTGGGTACGCTGAAGTAGAAACTACGATTTCTATGAGAAGTAGTTATTGCGTGGTAGTGCATTGCACCCAAACCGACGCGGGCGCGATGAACAATGCGCATTATAATTCAAAGTGGTGCTATATCCGCGCTAACCAAACGTGAGCCGCCATTGTTGAGGACGATATCGCGACACTTTGTTCATTGAGGAGGTGCGGGACGGCCGCGTGACGCCATCCAATAGATATTCTACTACACTATTTGATGTTAATTACTTACCAACTTGAACGTTACAATGAATTACGGGTACATTAAACCGCTCATGACAATTCCAGATCCTATTTTAGAGACAAATAATTTTGGATAACTTATTATGTCATTATATTTTATGTTTATTATTTATCGTTATAAATTAGGACAATAACTCTTAATAGATAGCACTGAAGATAACTAATATCCCAAAGTATGATAAACTTATTTGCTCCTAATGGTACTAATGGCACATCTATAAATATTAACAGCCCATAATGATAGTAAAATTCATTATCAGATGACTGTTTATTGTAAAGGCAAACCAAATCGCTTTAATTTGTTATGATATTGATAATGTATTGCTCAAGCTTTACTAAATACCTATAAATACCTAAGATTTCATAAGAAAATAAAAAATAAGAAATTTATCAAGTTACTACGAAAACTAATCGAATGTTTATTGATAGTGAAATATTTTTTCCTGGAATAATGTCAAGTATAACCAAGGTGACTTATGCTTTTCAAAGGAATGTATAATCGAATCACGCTGACCCAATATCGGTCTGTTTTCGTTTATGGAAAAAAATCGTAGATAATGCGGCAGCCGTCTGGCGTTTCGGTTTTAGTAGTTTTAGGCGTGTTTGTTTGTCTCAACGCAGCCGAAGTACCGCACGTAGCTCAGTCGGTCATTAGCACTCAACCTCCCACAAAGAATCGTCATTATGTATAACAAACATACTGCGGATCTTAATCCAATAGAGACAGTAATCTGGTTAATGTATTAGTTATTGAATTTGTAAGTCCGGTGGTCGCTATTTACTATGGTTCGGATTTTATTTTATAATAAAATAGCTTTCCGCCAGCGGCTTCGCCCGCGTTGTCTTGTATTATACATAAAAACCTTCCTTTTGAATCACCCTATCTATGAAAAAAAACCGCATCAAAATGCGTTGCGTAGTTAAAGATTTTAAGCATACATAGAGATATAGGGACAGAGAAAGCGACTTTGTTTTATAGTATGCAGTGATTTCAAAATAACCAATATTTGATATTTATCCGATATATATAATGCACATAAAAATCTGCGTTTTTTAAGCTGCTATTGGCTTTATTTAACTTTTGATTTTTTAAAGTAAAAGTGTATAATAGAGAACTAACCGTTCGCACTTCGCCTTCATATATTACGAGGAAAACCGAAATTTCTAAAAGTAACATTGCTTTGGGAAAACTTCGGGCCAATGTTGCCAGCGTCACATTGGGTTGGTTAATTTTCTAGCTGACACTCGATACTTAAACATACAATAAATAATATAAATATGAATTGATATATATTATCGTATATATCAATCGGTATATATCCGTTGGTATTTATCAGCAAACCCTGCTATTTACGCTGTTAACGTTAGTGTATTCGTATATTTACGTATGCTGCGTTAATTAATGACTAACACTTCCAGTGAATGGATTTGACGACTGAGATGATTCACTCCCGTCTTGAAATTGAACATTAACATTGTTTCTTTTTAATTACACATTTAATAGTGTGTGGTTTCTTATTGGACTGTCATTCCACTCCTTGTTGACTTAATGAGATTCTTAATTTTAATAGAAAAGATAAAAATTTTAGGGGCGTCTTAGAAAACAAGTTTGTGGTGTGCAAAATTAGTGGCGTATGGCGGGTTTGAAGTACTCGTGGGCGGTGGGTCGGGTCCCTTCTTGCACACAGTACGTAGGAGGTCGACAAACCGCTTCTCCCCCCACGATCCTGATTCCTTAGCCTCAGTCGGACTACCAGTTACATTAAATTACTGACCACTCTAAAATATATTCTAAGTCATAAGAATATTATATTATTAGAAATAAATGAAAATTTTTTTAAGTTCCCAATAAGATCAAGAGCCAGAGATAGTGTTGCCAGATTTATTATGTTATGTTACGTTAACTTTAAACGTAGATAGATGTATTATGATGATGTAGATGTATTATGTTACGTTAACTTTAAACGTAGATATCGGAACGTAATGAAATGTTTCTAACTGTGATATTTTGATGTATTTAACATTTTCTATTCTAAATAGAAATTTTTGGACACTTGATAATCTATTTTGTTTTCATTTCGAATCGTATGAGCTTTTGTAAGAACGGGATTTTGTGTCGATTTTTATCTCGATAGTAAAACGCAACTCAATAGCGTGAAATGCGTCACGTGTCACCAAAATGTCTTTGGCTACACCAGTCCGAAGATTATTTAGGGTCCTTTTTCAATTTATCAGGCATAAAGAGGAAAGATTTCAGTGTTTGTTTTTTTGCATCGAATAGGTTATGAAACTATTGGACCTATTTTAAAGATTCTTTGGGAATGCGAAGCATGTGATATGGGGGTTGCGGAAAACAGCTAGTTTCTAATAAATATAACATAATAGTTTGATAGTATAGGTACTGAAATTGTATCTTTTTTATGTTTCAAGACGTTTTCATTTAATTGGTCGAATAATATTATAACAGATAAATTTAATATACGACTGAAATCAGCCCTTATCGCGTTGTGCAGTACAAAAATTGGTAGTAGTAAGAATAATGGAAGATTCCATGATACGCGTTCATATTAACGTGTGAAGTGTTATATGAACAATGTACGGTAATGTTTACGGACAAAGTAAGCAGACCTAACAGCTAAGGTAACTTGACAAACGCGTGTGGTTCTTATGGCGTGTTTATGAAACGACGCGTCCGCTGTACACGACCGATGTCCAAGTACGCTCATCTATCATATGTATTTTCATAATAATACGCTTGAATAGTGCATTGACATAACAAGGAAGGGCTCCATTTACTACTGACAATCGTGCTATTGTGCGAAAAAATATGTCGACCAGAGACATTCCTCTAGTACTTGAGTAGTTAAACGCTATGCTTTGATTTAAAAGTAACTAGTAGGTAACATAATTCACAATAATCAAATTGCATTAAAAAGAGGGAACGCATTGAAATCCAATAAGAGTTATTACTGACGTTCTTTAGGTCTTCCTTGTTTCGAATTTCATATGGAGTAATATAACGTAATATGCATTTTCGCTAAGACACCATCCATCGCACATTTTTCACCTCTTTCTAACATACGTGTCTGTTAGTAGAGTGAAGTAATTACTTGAGAATGTCTTAACTTGAGAAGATATAAACAAGAATCTACTAATATCTTTATAGTCTAACCACTGAAGTTATTTACAAAAATAATTTGAGTATCCTATATATAATACGTTATCCGCTTGTTTATCTAGGTTTAGACTGTTCATTAATCGGCTATTAATAGAATGTAGACACTGTTTTAAGAAATGATAACAATGTTGTAAACTAAATAATCTTCAAGTGAGTGAATAATCTTTAACAATAATAATGTTTTTAATTGTCACAAGTATGTACTGTGTTGGTTAGATCGACTAAACGGTGCCAAGACAGGGCGTTCAACTGTTGATAGTATAAGTTATATGACAGTGGTGCGTCTGAATCAAACCGGGCGCGATGCTATCTCCACCGTTATTTATTGCCCATGCAAATTACACGTCCCCCGGTCACACGACTATACCTAGTACTCCTTTGACCACTTAGGCCCTCTCTGTAAACTAATAAGTATATCATTATTTTACATGCCGCATCTACGAAATTATAAGGGGCACATAAGTTTCATTCAAGTTGTGAGTTGCGTCAGTGTTAGTAATGAGTCTATTTTTATTTATAGAACATACATTGATGTTATTTAAAAAGTGTCGTATTTATGAGTCAAAGGCACTTGTAGGTATACGAAGTGTTTTAGAGCGGAAAATCATTTCCATAGTCGGACGCCCATGGTATTGTGTTGTTGATGAGTCATCGTCACCACCACCATCGGTGTTCATTTACCGTTACCAGTCGGATAAACCGATGCTATCATTCATGACCCCTATATAACATTACATATTTTTAGTGTCTGCCTGTCCGCAAGTAACACAAACATATGGAAATATACAATGTCTTAAATGTCCGTACAATGTAGTTTATATCTTAATTAGGGTTTGCATATTCTCGTATGATAAGTAATCTGTCTTGCTTCCATGTATGAATGTCGTTACCTTCGATAGTATGTAGGTGAAATGTTTAAGAAGATGATTGTTATTTTAAAACCATATACACTTTGACTACGGCTGCTTATAAAAACGCTTACTTCAATGATAGGTTATTTTTCGTTGATCTAGAAATATGAAATTTGGCAAGTAACTTTGTTTTATATTACAAATTCAATTTTCATTAAATAATAAAAATATAGTCTTACAGGTGGTGGAAATTTAAAATTGAGGCTACTTATTCAAGTGTGGTAGGTATCATATGAAAGGGCTTGATGTACAAATTTCAAAACATATTTTATTCGATTCCAGGCGTATTCGTAACCTACTTTTTACGGAGCTCTCGTTGGACGAGTCTAAATCTTATTTGTCCGGTTTTTAGGGTTCCGTGCTCAAAGTGATCATGAACCGTGAAAGATAGTTGAGATTTTCACAGATTATATATTTCTATTGCCGCTATAACAACGAATCCTAAAAACGAAACAAAATAAATATTTAAGGCGGCTCCCATACAACAAACGTGATTTTTTTGCTCGTTTCCGATACGGAATCATTCATGCGCGAGTCTGACTCGCTCTTGGCCCTTTTTTTAAAGAGCATTCTCGAGAGTGATCTGAGCTGATTTGAATTGAACTTTTACCGATCGAAACCGTCTACGAACAGTCTGCAAAGAATACTTACTATACCTATGCTTTGTCACTATCATTAGTTAGTAAGCTGTACAAATAAAAGAACGTGTAATTCAATATTGAATCCACAGTTCCATATTGAAGTGAAACAGCTTGTGAATATGGGAACGGAACATTTGGCTTTTAGGCGGGTTTTAATATTGCAGTTATAAATAAATATTACTCAACAACACATATGAAGTTCTTCAGAAGGCACATCGGATTCGACACGGCTTTTGTAAAACTTCAAGTATCGAAAAGTAGTTAATTTGGAACATGTAATGCGACATCAGAGGTACCGATTACTAAAGTTTATTCTTATGAAAAATTGCGGGGAAAAGACGTGTAGGTCGGAGGAAGAAATCGTGGCTTCCTAAAATTAGGGAAATGGGCGGATATTACGAGCCCTGTCCAGTTGTTTCACTTTAACAAAGATCAAGAGAAGCTTGCTAATTGACAGTCAACCTTCGCTAGTCAGAGAGGCACTATAAGAAGAAAAACGTCACATACATTGCTTTAATCCCAAATTAAGTAGTATTAAAAAAATTTATTATCGAAAAACAAAACAACAAAGGCACCACAACATTTAGACCCGAGACAATTTAAAAAAATTCTTCTTCTACATTGATCTGACTGGGGCTCGGGACCTCCAAGGCTCTTGGAGAAATATTATTGTATCTACTAAATTAAATTAAATTTTTGGTGATGTTTGCTAAACCTCTGTCATTTGTGCGTATCGATTTAAACTTTCGCTTTCTTTTGAAATAATTTTTTCAAAAATTTATCTTTATAGAAAATATGATTCATTAAATGTGTTGCCAACAACATAACTCGGGAAAGTTACGGATTGGAGTCCGGGGAAGGCTCTTATTACAGAGAGCAGAAATAGCAAAAACAATAATTCTCCCATACAAACTGGGCGCTAGAAAATCGCTGGGTCGGTTAGTTGTAAATAGAAATTTATATATCCGCTGTCGAACAATGGATCCACATATTAGTATGATATATAATATAAAAGAATCGTACTGTTCGAGTTATCAATACATTCACACAAACAATGCATAATACGTAATTTTATATAAGACCACAATTAGTCCAGTACATACCACAGATCTAAAACATAAAAAAAGACGCTTCCAGACAGTCGTTATATTAATCCTCTAGGCATCCTATAACGTTGAATATTGATAATGTAATTGTCTACTCAAACCTGTTTAGTGAAAATAACCGCTAGCTTCCCGTGTCTGCGTCAGCTACATTGAGGCTAAAGTATTGTTCTAGTTCCGTTGTTATTTCGCTAAGTTATCGATCATATTCGAAGACTGTATTCAACTTGATTTATTCGAAAGCTAATAACAATTTTGAGAAAGTGGAAAAGCTTACTTTTTAACATATTCTGAGTAGGACATACTTATGTTTCAGTGTGGATCCGTGATGAATATTGAGTATTAATCCTAATTGTGCGATGAATGCATTTTCTGCGTATTTTAGTATGATATATGTAATTATAGTGTATAAGAGAGATTCCACAGATTCTTTTCATGATGCATTTTAATCGGAATGCTTTAAGTAGATGTAGTTTAAAACTTAATCTCTATTTGAAAGCATAACGTCTTCCCCGCCAAGGCGAAAGTTTTAAGTACCTAGTACACTACAGAAGTCGAGTTAGTAGAAATCTCGAGATCTAAATTGTGATGGTAGTGTTAAATAAAAACAAACCACAATATTAAAATTCGTATACACCTTTCAGTACATAAATTATTGTAACATATGAGGCGTGTCTTTCTGCATCGGTAAACAAAGACGTCCTTGTGTTCCAGTATCGTTTTATTGTTCGCCGCAACCCTGTGGTTGCATGATATGTTATGATACATTGAAAAAAATCATTTGTTTCAAGTCAAGTTTTCTTTATGGTAATACCATACTTTTGCGGATAAATCCATTCCTAAACATTTACTCAATTTCACGATATTAATTACTTTCGAATTTGATATAAGTTATTACCTATCTTGTTTCGCGTTATACGCTATTATCTCTTCTTATTCGTGGAAGGCGCCACATGCAAAACAAAGACCAAAAATGACTAAAAAAAAAATACATTTATTGTCGTCAAGAAAGAAATCATTTAATTGTTTCGGGTAAGGTTTTTTAATTAAATAAATCATATTATTTTTAATTTGACCAATTCTATTCTGAATTTCGAATTGGCAGCCCAAATTTAATTCTCAATGTTTGTAGAACATTTCGGTATTGTCTGTAGTTGCAACAAAAGACATTGTATATGATTTTCATATCTTCAGTTCTCATCGGAACGTATAATTATAATGTATCCAAATGAGTAAGTACCTATCTCGTATGAAAACAAAAAACTTGTATGCGTTTAAAAAACGTATAATTAACAATTCGTCTAAACAAAACGCAAAAAACCTTTTTCATTAGTTGGTATAAAATTAGTAATCAATCATTCATGACTCTCACTCATTACTTATTCGACGTTGTAACTTGCTTATGAAACAAACTTACTTTTATCGTACTTTCCTATGCAAGTTTGTTTCATTAATAGAGTGATTTAACTATATGAGAATGATGAAGGCAATAAGTCCGCTTTTGTAAAATTATATCTAAACAATGCATGCTTAGATAATTAATTACTAAACTTCGAGTACCAGACTTAGTGGCAAAGTAAATATGGTTTGATCATACTAAAAATGGTGGCAACCCTGCATACAATAAAAATAGTAGCAGCCCTGCCTCTAATCGACTGCAATATAATATGTCTTTGATCATGAGCATTGAAGGGTAACATTTAAGTTATTTAAATACAAGCGCCAATCATCCGTTACAAAAAATATAGGTACTATAAAGTATATCACTTACCTCAGTATCCCTTCAGTCTTAGTGGACCTCTCGTGTGAATCGACAGTGTTGTTAAATATTGCCACCATGGCCGAAAAAATGGTATTTATTGTGCTAATTACTAAGTGTCGTGAAAGTCTTAAATATCCTTTTATAGCAAGAGGAGATAGGATTAGACTTCAGATATTGCACCAAGCTCCTTCTCTTCCGCTCAGAGTTAGCTTTAGTGGAGTGTTTTCTTATTAAAACGATTATTATCGTGCTTAAGATATGGAGTAGGAACTAGATTTTAACCAAAAAATCTGTTGAGGTATAATTTTCAAAATTTTTTTCTTCAGGCCGCTGAAGTACCTACAGAATCGGAGAAAAATGAAGATGCGGAAGCAAAAACTGAAACCGAAATTAAGGAGGAGAAGACCCCGGAAACTCCAGTGACGGAACCTATAACAAACGGCAGCAACACGCCCGAGTCTCCTAAAGAGGAAATAGTCCCAACAAAAGAAGTTGCCCCAGTCACAAGCATCGAATCGGAAAAACCCGAAACAAAAACAGAGCCAGAACCACAGCAATTGCCTATCAATGGACTCTCCATAGATGAACCCATTAAAGAAGAACCCGAAGTTGTACAAAAGGAAGAGAGCAAAACAGAGGAATCTCCCGCCGAATCAACTGAAACAGTGCCTGCCGTTGAAATTCCTGTTCAAAAAGAGGTTTGTGTTGATCAAATGCCTTTGATAGAGTCCACGCCTCCACCACTTCCCGCGAATCCTCCTCCCTCTTCAGTGGCAACTTTTGCCGCCTCTACCATGGCACCAGATTTGACAGACGCTTCGCTAGCTAACACCGCTGAAACCGCAATATCAACACCGCCAATCGTAGATACTAAAGCCGAGTTACCTAAAGAGTGCCTTTCTGAGTCATCCCATACAGTTTTAACTAATAATGAGTCCGATATTCACGTCCCCTCCCCAATTCAACCGATTCAAACTGAAGTCAAAGCGACAAACGATAGCATCGTGGAGAACCTCGAGGATGTACCAACAGAACACAAATCTACGTCAGAGATAAACAATGACGAAACCGAGGTTAAGGAAATCACCGAGATCATCAAAGAGGAAGAAGTGTTGGGCAATTCCGAACCGGAAGTGCCCGAAGTACCAGAAGTACCCGTTTTACCAGACTCGCCTACTTTACCGGAAACGCTAGAATCCGACACGTCTGACACCACCGGCGACTTACCACCTCCTCCGCCACCCGAAGACGACGACGATACGTTGAACGAGGATGTCGCAATCGAGAAAATCGAGCCCCCTACGCCAGACGAGTTGCGAGAGGTCGCTAACGTTATCGATTCCGTGATTTCGAACGCGGTCGAATCGAACGGTATCGATAAGGAGCTCCTGAACGGAAATATTGACACGAAACAGGAGGCGAATGATGTGGAATCGCTAGAAAACGCGACGATCGAATGCAACGGCAACACGTTGGAAGAAACTCATGCTAAGCAGCCGAGCGCGGTGGAACACTCGGCAGCGTCGCAGCCGGCGCGCGCCTCGCCCGAGCCCCAGGTGACTAGCGGCAGCCATGCTCTTGTAGTGGACTAGTATCGTAACATAAGGAGTGTTCCGACACCCGTTAACAGTTCTCGTATTTAGTTTCATGTGCATCTCTGCCAGCATGCGTGGACGAACGATGACCGGAAGGATTGGAGTGTGCTCGAATGATATTACGTCTTTCGAACCGCTAGAACGCCACCCGCGGCCGTCCTCCTCCTACTATCCCTTTCCTTGACGCTTCATATTTTGTAGACTTTAAACATCAGCATGTACTTCAAAGTTTGCTTCTGTGCTAACTGATCTAATAATTTTATTATTAAGTTTGTATGAAATATTTTCTTGTTGAGAACCCTGATAATATTAATAGTGCTATCATTTCACACAAGTCGAACTTTTGCAGTCTTTTGGAATGTTTGATAACATTTTGGCTTACACCACTACCGTTTTGTCTTGCGCACTATACATAACTTAGTTGGCATGGTCATGTGTAAATATGGGATAAATATGTAACTATTTTACATTATGCATTTACAACAATATAGAAATTTAATTTCAAGTCAGAATTGTTGAAATGAAGCAAAAGTTTTGCACACGTTATCATGAAACCAGTCCATTTGTAAATTATTATGATATCTTTGTTTTTAATTAACCTCTTAACATTTTCCTTTATATTATTTAAACAAAATATTAGAATACATATAAAGTATTTGATTATTTTGAGATATTTAAAATAGAACTAGTATTTCCTCTTTATTCAATTAACATAATACACAAAAAAATTATAACATAATCATGATTTTACAGGAACCTGTTGCGGTGTCAGATAAAATAGCCGATTTAATCCCTGAAGTTCCTGTAGTACCAGATTTGAACACAGAAACGGTACTGACATAATTATATAATAATATAATGTAAATAAATGTATTGTTTTTAGATTGTTATCATTACTAATTACCGTTTTTCCTTAGTTACAGGAGAGTAGCGACGTGGTGGTTGCCAATTAGGCATAACTCGACATCGTCGGGCGGCACACGACTGTGTCTTTGAAAAAGAGCCTTTAATTTATTTCTGTTTAGTACTATGATATGATGTCGAACCGAGTTCGATTATTAATTATATCACTGTCAAAGATGTGGATTTTGGTTCCAAATGTGACTCCATACTGAATGAATAGTATAAGTTTAGTGTGCTTTTGCTTTTGTAAAATTAAGATTTTATACAATTTATTCGCTAGGATCGAGTTTTTTTTAATAATTATTATTATATACAATAAAAAGTTATATAGACAGTATACGGTGCGATAAGTTGGTGCCATTATTACAGGGGTTAGTTTGTCGTCGGCGCGTGGTTACTCGCTCACGAAATTTACCTAATTAGTATCAAATTGTAATATTTGTAAAATATCAGTGACAGCAATCCCCCTTATAGATTAATCTAAGTTTGTGTCATCTTTAGTGGCTTATTTGGAAATATTTTTATGTATCGATAGTAGCTATTTCACAGCATAGAAGTGTCAACTTGATCCCGAAAACGCGATGAAGTGTTTTTATTAAATTTAATAGGCCAATTATTCTGGAAAAGTACGGTTAGTGCAAAATAGTTGTAAAAATGCATGGTGCTCGCGCCATAAGGTTTGTTCGAAGACAAAGTTGGTGTTGGCTGTTTTACCGAAAAGTCAACTGTAAACATTCGAAATATCAATAATTATGAAGGGGTACCACTGAGCGACGTACGGTACGAGTATTGGATTTAGATGTATATATGAATAATTGAGTTTCCATATACATACTGTTATTTTATGTCGAGTAAAATTAAAGTTGAAAATACGTACACTGTAAATTGTTAAGATTGAAATAATGAATTCCGGTTATCTCATTATGTTAACTCTTTATGTGCACTTATATGATATTCAACGTTTATATTAAGTTGTATAAATTTAGTTTGTATTCGTATATTGGCGGCTCTCTCTGATGAACTCGTGAAATTATTAAATTAATTAATTCGTGTTGTAAGTGATCACAACTATGCCTAAGTGAGACGTTACATATTTTAAAAACATTCTAAATTGTTCAAGTAACATATTATATGTCGTAGTAGAAATAGTAATTGAGGATTAGCATCATTCTTAGATTTTATGAACTCGTAAAATTTTGGACTAATATTCAGTGGCCAAGTTTTTTTATACTATACAATTTTATGCATATACAAACTTAATTGTAATTTCTAGATTTGTAGTATGTGTAACGTTTAGTAAGACGGCGCAGTACCGACTGGTTGTTGCCGTTAGTTTATTGGGTCTCACAAGCATAAGACTTGAAATATATAACTTATTCGATATTGTGTCATTTCCTATAATTAATACAGTAAACATATACCTATATGGTTTCATAATCATTTTTGTAATTTTATACATTTTTTAATGAAATTCGAAGTGACACATCAGCGTGACTGGAAGTTGCTCCAAATATAAATTAACAGTAAATATGAGTGAGACATTCCATATCAAATGCTTAATGCATTGCAGCCTAAGATGTATACTATTACCACTTTCTCTGTTAGTGTGTAGTTTTTTTTAATTTTCACTTTTGTATAATTTTATTTCTGAATATTTTGCTTTACATTTCTTAAAACAGGACATCCATGTACCCCAAACTATTTGATGTATTGAAAGCAAGTAGGTTCTTTCGAATGGAATCGTCAATACACGTTGTGAAGTCTCATCCAGATGTATCCTTAATTTGCTCACTATGGCTATTTGAGAATTGTATGATAATTAATATGTTATTCCAATTTTATATAAACTTAAATGTTGATGTGTGAATGTCTCTAATCAATAAATTTTAAAATGGATTTTTTTTTATTATTTTGCCTATCCATATCTTCACTCTGGCCGCATAAAACTATGTTCAGATAGAGGTTTACGAAAGATTGTCAGTATGAGCAATTAGCCACCGATAAAAGGTTATTAATGGTTTTTCATAATTAACTAACAAACATTAAAATTAACTACACTACATGACAGTGTATTACCATTATACTACTCTGGGTATTACTCTCGCATGAGGATGTTTAAAAAACGCTAGTTCCCGAAATCAAACTAGATGTCGCTACGGTACTTCGTTTCTCCATGACTACCCATCCGGGATTTTTACATGTTTAAAATAACTCTGTATACAACTTTTCTCTACTTTTTCGTATTTGTATTGATATCTAAGTTCAGTTCTTTTTCGTATTTGTATTGGTATCTAAGTTTCGAACTTTGCAAATATAATTTTATAATAGTTAGTTAAAAGGAACGGAAATTACTATGCTAAGATGCTTTTTTGTGTTTTATTTTTTAAATACTTCCTCATTAGGGATGATGATACCGCCTAAGTATAGATACTTTCATTCGATAACGTATCGGTAATGAACTATGGATACCTATTCTGTATTGAATAATTTCAAAATCCTCACCATCGTAGTCATTTTTAAAGATTTTTTAGAGCAGTTACTATTGGTAGTCAATAGAAATACTCTGTTTACGGAAGGAAAATAAGCTAGTCCAGGCATATAACTAATAAATATAGTTTTAAGTACGTATTTAGTTAGGTATTGCTTCAAAATTTTGTTGGTATTGCCCCCTCTAGACAGATCTCTTAACTGGTACTTTTCGGAAACTTCTTCTTCTTCCATTTTGATACTTGAATCTTAACTGATATTTTAAAATCTTTATAGAATCGGGAGAGGGACCCTGTGCCTATGAGACTTTTTCATGAGACAGAGAGAGTGAACAGTAACCAATTTTTCGATACATTATATTCCCTCAGTGAGTGACCGACCCAGAACCAATAAAAATACTTAATTTACGATACTACTTGTTACTCGGTTCTAAAGTACTTGAATCGAAAGAAAAATATCGAGTGAGTACTTGTACGTACTATGGCGATGGGTCGTTATCTGTTTTTTAAATCACGTAACGAAACCGTTACCGGATCGGCAATCACCGGTATCAAAGCTGTTTATTTTTGATAACTAGTTATTTCCATAGCGCTATAGAGTCAAAGCGAATTTTACTCTTATGACAACGCGAAACATACTAAGATACACCTATTTCATTGACACCTATACTGACATCCTGTTGCATAAATGCATTACATGACCGTCAATGTATAAGGTCGATCTTTTAAAGATGTCTACTGTGATCGCCGCTTCTTGATGGTCGCGGATCTTCTTGTAAAGCGTGTCACCTATACATCAACCTTAAGTGATTTTCTTAGAGTAAATTCAACTTTAAAGCGTTGTGAAAAATAGATAGTTATTGTATCACTGAATCACGAGTGATCGCGGTTCAGGGAAATCACTAGTTGAATAACTGTCTATCGCGAATAACGTCCATCGCTTATTTACTCGTATCGTTTATCTCTTAGCTTAATTTTCAGTGTGTGACAGGCTGGCAGCGTAATCCTTTTTTCAATTTTAAAATAAATTTTTGCACCTGCTTAATTAGTATCAGTTTGTATTCCAATTTATAGATTTGATCACCCACAATCAACTGACTTCAAAAAAAGGAGGAGGTTCTCAATTTGAATGTATTTTTTTTTATGTTTGTTACCTCATAACTCTTTACTGGGTGTGCCGATTTTGATGATTCCTTTTTTATTAGGAAGCAATTTTTTCTGGATTAGATTTGGCAATAGCATCTGTGAAAAAACCATATAAATCTTAAATTTGCATTAAGTATGCGTGATGGAGGTAACAAATACCACAAAAAATTTGAAAACTTATCCATAATTATCAGATATTTATCATGATTATTATCCAGAAAAAAACATTATCTTGATAATTATGAACCCTGCTTGTTACAGGTATAAAGTAAAGGTAAATAAAAATGATAAATATGATGAGACAAATTTTATTTTGTATCTATACAATTCTCTACCACCTTAATTAGTTTAGATAATGAATCTTTAGTTAAATCATACACTCTTTGAGTCTCTAATCCGCTGGCATTTACTGATGAAAATTCTAGTTGTAATAGAGGATATCTCAATACTTTCAAATCGCTTGTCCCTAATACAAGTTTCAAATACCAGTTGTGATTTGTAATAGTATCATTATAAACACTATTTTGATATAAAATGATTGAGTATAATATGTGGTTCTTGTTACTCTCCAATATAGATATTAAATATTGTGTTCTTTCACTTTCCCAATTTTTTTTTATAATTTTTTTAACCACTTCACTGATGTCATAATTAGAAGATGTGATTAATTTCCTTATTTCATTTTTTGCAGAAACAATAACATTACATTCTATACCCATAAGTTGTTTTTGTTCAGATTTGTGTAGTGTTTTCATAATTTCTTCCATAACCTGAAAGGTAAAAAATTAACTATTTTTTATGTTACAATAGTTTACACTCACATTAACATTCTAGTAATATAATTAGAGAATTTGAAAACCTGTAATTGAATAATTATATTTTTGGAAGGGTCTTTGAAGGGAAAACTTATAATTATGATGGGTTTAACATTGGAGTTTTTTATGGATGCAACTCTTTTTGTAAAGTTGCATGGTTGCAAAGATATTTGAATTACAATATATTAACTCATAAGCATAACAATGTACCACCCCTATTTGTAGCAAAATTGCCACCTACAAATGCAGCGTTTAGAATTTAAAAACATTATAGATTTTGTACTCATTAAAACATAACTCTCCATCATGTGGTGTTTTATAGATATTACAAAGGTTAACTTACTGTTTTATAAGTATCATAAGAATCTAAATTAATTAATGTCTCCATCATTGGACAAGATGCTGCGAGACGGCAATATAGGGATATTATAAAGTACTTCAAGTTTGGACGACACAGAAGGAACTTGTATTTTTAAGTTTTGATTTCTGTGCTGTTCTTTTTCTTTCAATACCACAAATTACATAGCGCATTTTCAATAAGGTACCACAAGATCTTATAACATTACATTCACAGACTAGTAGGATTACATTACTCTCTGATAGCGGCCGTAATAACCTACTTAACGTGTTTGACATTTATCAAACCGAAATTGAAAGCGGAGCAGGGATGTTCGATATTCATCGATGTTGAATAAACATCGATGTTTTAAATTGGATAACATCGGCACATCGATGTTTTCGTGCCAAACATCGATGTTTATGAATAAAATGTTAATATACCCTTCGGGCCATCTAACGTGCTCCAGATGTACTAGCTAGATGATCTCGTATATCAAGTTCAACAATTTTATACTAGATGTCACCGGTTGCACTCGTAACTGGAGTACGCAAATAAATAGTTTTTTCTTTGCTTGCATTTTCCTAGGAAATTAAAAATAAATCTGTCAACTTCAGCGCTCGTTGGTATCTTATAAGTTACTTTATTCAAGGGAGGATGAAAACTATTAAAAACCGTTACTGAACAACTTCTCACTATCCCGCAAAATTTCTGTGTAAAATGGAAAAAGGTCATTTATGTATATAAAAAAAAAAGTTACTTTATGTTCATTGGGCTCGTTCTCTCTCCGTGAAACTCCCGCGTGATTTTTTATGACACTTGTTTTATTCCATTACTTTTATGGAAAGGGGTAGAATCCACCAATCCCACATTAAAAAAGATTGAAATTAAATATTTATGTTGCACAGCGACTTCCACGGCTTCAGAGAGGTTTTTTTTCTAAAGCTGGTCAATTCCTTTATCAGCAACGCAATCGAATAAAGGGGAAATTGTTAACCAAGCTACTTTTTTTGCAAAGTGTACAGAAAAAATATTTGGATTAACGGGTTCATTTATTCTAGTTTTATTTACTTGTAACAATAAATACTTTTTTGTAAAAAATACATCCAGTTTTATTTTTTTCTATGAAAAACATCGACGTTTGGGGACATCGATGGTTTTCAATTGATATTAATCGTACATCGATGCCTTTGAATTGATGTTGACTTCGATGTCAATATCGATCATCCCTATAGCGGAGTGATCTACTTTAAAATAATCGGTTAGTATAACGAATCGATATGGTTATCCAACAAATGTGAATCGAATGCAGTTCTTGCGCAAATTAGACATTAATTATTATTATCAATATACATATCGTCGGTGATATTCTGAAACCGCGGAATTAACAGTGTTAAAAACCGCGTATTTACAAAAGTAGCAAAATCGAGATTTCGCGGCTTAGCTTCGTTGTAGGGATAGGCTTCGTTCTGTGATGTTGGCCAGGCCGATTAACCAATAGGAAGCCGTGAAATTGAATATCTTTTAAACCGCGTACCGTTATTGAGTGGCGTTGTTGTGCCCAAACCGCGAATCTGCGCATCATAACATGAAAGGTGTGTTTGTTTGACGAAGCGTGCGTGAAATAGTGTGGTTTTAATTATAAATGCTGCAATAACTGGTAAGTGAACACAATTACTCCTTATTATATTGATTAAGTAACTTTTTAAGATAGTTTGTTATTCGAATTATTTATATTTACCCTAAGAAAACGTCTTTAACTATTTCGATGTTAAATACGTGGTTCTAAAACTCATAACGTTTTTCGTATTCTGTTACATACGCTGTTGCAAAATTTATGTACCTGAGTTTTGATAACTGACCCTACTTTTGTTTTTTTTAGTTAATGTCATGGAGCATGAAAATGAATGTGCGGATGAGCCTGTTGTCACTTTAAGAGATCTAGCAAAACGTCGCGCCGAACTTGTGCGTAAAAAGCAGCTCGTCTTGGATAAACTTAATAATACTAACTTACACAATATCCCTCAAACATTAATTGAACCGTCTCCAGCGACGCAACTGCCATGCCTCCCAAATGCCTCTACATCCGAAAATGTTCAAGATAGCATTGCACACTGTGAAACTCTGACAACGGTTTATGAGCCTTCTTCTGGCCCTAGTGCATCATCTATAATGATTCCAGAAGCTTTAGATTTTTCTTCAGATGATATAAACAATGATCCTGATTACGTACCATTATCTGAAATAACAAATTTACAGCCTATTGCTACTCCATCTATTACTTATGAAAACGTTGAATGGTTTGTGGAGAGAGAAATTGAGCCTGAAGTGGCAAAAGCGTCACGCACAAGAAAAAGAAAGGCCGATCGAAGTTCGTGGGCAGTATCAATTACATAATAAGAAAAACAGAATGTTAGGCAAAGAGTACATAGGCTTAAACAAAATTGACAACCTTTTTCAGAAACAAAAAAGACCTAAAAGAGCAATAGGTACTAAATGTAATTCAGCGTTTTGTAATAAAATCAAAGTAATGTTTTGCTCACAATTAACGGAAGATTTACAAAAACCTATTTTTGAAGATTTTTGGAGTAAGTCGTGGCAAGAAAAGAAAATATTTGTGATTTCAATGATTGACAAAGTACCTGTTCGAAGAGGGAAGAAAGGACAAAACTCTCGACGGTTTATTACTAAATAACTTACCGAAACCTATTTCAGCTGTAGTAAATAATGTACCTCCTCTGTATTCATCTAGACTGCCTATGTTAGACACTAAGTATCAGCACTTACAGCGATTAAAGAGTGTGATACCTGCAGATTGTCACTTATTTTACGAAAATTTACTATTTAAGAAAAAGTTTTCTTGATCTCATTTTTTAACAAAGATCTCAAAAAGCAACTATTATTAGAATTCATATTTTTATACATTTTAGTTTGTTATTCGTTTTTAGTTTTAACTGTTAATTAGTAAGTACCCTACAACAAAGTATTTTTAACATACTTAGCTATAAAGAGCTATTTTGTTTTAACAGGGGATTTGTGGTGTTATTTTCCCGTATATTGTTGATTACCTAATGTACCGATGATAATTATGTGCCAAAAATTAACTAAGAAGTTGACTGAATAAATAATAAGAAGATTTTGATTGTATTCTTTTGTTTTATTTCGACGAACAATTCCGCGTAAGTGACATAAAAAAACTTATTTTGATTTTATTTGTAATGATAAGTCCGCGAAAGTCGATTTTCTAATTAATTAATACATATTTTACATAACTAATGCCTACAATATTAAGAGGAATATTATAATTTGTCAATTTAAAAGTTTAAACAATAGAAAGTTAAGTGGTTTGGTAAATATTACGTTTTTACTCGTTCCTGTAAAATTCACTGCACCTACCTTACGCGGTTTTAAACACTGTTAGTTCCGCGGATTCAGAATATCACCGACGATATATTAATTAACGAGATTGATTTATTAAATTGTCTCGTTTTGATATTGTAATATGAACAACAGGTCTGGCCCTACCGGTGTATGTCGCAGCATTTCCAAAAAGTTCTAGAACAACCACACATCCCTTTCTTCCCCCATGATAGTCCCTTTCTCGGCGACGTGAAAAGCGTGGTTTCTTTGGTGCTAATGCGACTCAGATGACATAAAGCCATCGAGTGACGAGTAGTCGAAACATCGCGCTGCGTTGTTCGAAGGCAGCTATCGTCGTAATATAGCTAATTTGGATGTTATTTCTTAGTACAAATACAATCGAAAGTGAACTTTGGTGTAAGCGTCATCTTAAGCCTAATCAGAAACTTTAAATACAAAGACATTAGGAAGTATTAAAAAAAATTAGTTCCCGAAATCAAACTAGATGTCGTTACGGTACGTTCTTAATTTCTTCCGGTCTTCTTTAATGTTTAAAAGTAAACTAGTTTTCAAAACTCAATAAACAACTCTTTTTCTATTTTTATTGATATCTAAGTTTCGAACTTTTCAAATTTCAGTTATTTAATATATTAGTTAAAAGGAACGGAAAGGACTGTCTTTAGTCCATTCGTTTCCTGCAAAAATCAACTTTTGCTATAGTCGCCATTTAGTGGAGATGCTTTTTTAGTGCTTTCGTTTTTTTTAAATACTTCCTCAGACATTTAGATCCTACAATTTGTGATGCCATCTAGTGACATATTTTTTTGTAGTTTCTTTATTTTTTTTAAATACTTCCTCCGTAGTTGGGTAACCTTTTTTAAGCAGTGTTGTAGAACGTTGCGTTTAGCTACTCAATCATTAAATTAAAGGGCTACCCGCACAATTGGTCGGCTGATGAATGGATTGATAAATTAGGAACACGAAGAATTCACGAGGTTGCCGCCGCTGGACTAATGGATGCGTCATGATTGAAGACTTTCGATAAGTAATTTGGTAAACAAAGACAGAGTTTTTGAAAAATTATATTTCACGTTAGGTATTTCAATAAGTAAATCGATTAACTTGGGTAGTTAATTATAAATGATAAATATCACTGGTTACATTACAAAATAAAGATTTTCAGCGTAAATTTATTTGTTTGAGTGTTTATGTATCAAATTCGACAATTTGTAATTCACAGGCAAAACAGTGATGAAAATTAAAACAATACAATGAAGATTTTCAAAACAGGCAAGATTTTAGAATTTATTTATATAAATCTTATATATAAAATACTACAATTAAAAATTGCGAATACGAGACTATCAACATAATTAAATGTAGAAATCTGCTGCGATCGAAGAATTGCACTGCTTCCTTGATGTGACGTACCTTCTTAACAAGCGCAACTTTTATTACATATATCTATAGATAGAATAGATTAAAAATAACCTTTCGTCTAAGCTCGATTCAATTTTGAAGTATTTTCTGTAACATAAATTCAATTTACAGATACAGTTAGAGCCAATACGCACTGTCAACTGGTCGTCGGCGACTGTATTTTTCTACAATCAAGTTTGTTTTACGGGTTTGTACGCACGCACTCTGTTTCCGGTTGTTAGCGCGACTGGGCGATTTTCTTAGTACAAGTAACGCTATTATTGCAACTTCGATGTCACTTATGTGCATAATTGTACAAGAAACACTACCGTTGAATCGATCTTCAGATGGTCTCCCAACCAAGTTAGTTGCCTGTCTGGGTTGCCGAGAGACCGGTGTACAGTATGTATCGGTATATAGGTTTTTTGTAAAACACAAATCTGAGTACTTTGTTATTGTGAAAATCGAGTACTTTTAAACCATTGATTTCGAAGACATACATAACATGCTTATCAAAACAATAAACATATGTTTTACATTTATAAGTACGATATCCCACAACCTTTGACAACAGCCAAGAGATGACATCGTGTAGGAGGAGCCGGCTGGCTGCCGTGGCATACGGGCGGATTAAGGAGTTTCAAGCAGTATAAATTTCATGCAAAAATGAACCTTAATACTTTTTCTTAATTAATAAGAACAATGTTAAATGGAGACCGACGCACTCCGCCTTCCTGCACAGTTGGTGGAGATCGTATTATAGTGTATTTATTTTGTCAATAGAAAACATAAGACACGCATAATATAATTTATTTTGTCATAGACATAAAAAAATTGAAATAACTGTTTAAAATATTGTTTAAAAGTTGTATATTTTATTTATATTAAATTAAAACAATCAAAATGTAATTTCTAGACAATTATTACTATTCTGATTTGAGATTGCCGTGAGTGTTCCATCAATTTATTATTTCTTATTTGGTGGCAAGTTAGGCAGAAATTGATATGTTGATACAAGTGAGTTTTTAAAATTATAATAGTCTATTAATATTTTATGTAGCCATCTTATTGATTAAGGTGATTTGGTTTAGTTCAATGAGGTAAACTAACTGAGTTAATAATTATTCTTTAAACATTAACTAACCAGCTCAATTTAATAACTATTGATCGTAATATTCGAGTGAAACGTTTATAATTTTAAGTCAGTATATGATACCGAATTAAGACATATTATTATATCTTCAGTAATAAATATTGGCCGGTCCACAATAGTAATACTTCTACCCAATCGTATATATGTCATTTATTGTGATGATAACTGTTTTCTTGTTTTTGGCACTATTTTTATGTTTCATGTCAAACAGTCCTCTAAAAGCCCTATAATATTTTTTAAATTAATCCTCTTTTGTGACAGAATCGTTATTATTTTCGAGAAAACATTTCATCTTCCTCCATAAATAACCGCTTAAAAAAATCTTTTGAGTATACGGCCTATAGTCGTAAAATAGCAATACAGTTACGAGACCCATTTAGAACTAATTTGTTAGTAACCCTAAAACATAAGTCATATCATGACTTGCATTGGTACAACCACAATATTCTTATTTCATAGGCACAAATAGTGAATACTTAACACTAAACTACATATACTTATTGTTGTCATCGGCATAATGGCTATATACATGCATGTACGTACATATATACAATATTTTATGAAAATATTAACAGAGTCGATACTAGCCGCAGTATATTCAATGCAGTGATTCTTGATAAAATAATGATATTTTAAGTTTGCGTAAAGTTTTTACAACACTCCTACTTTTATTATTGCCATATTATTTTATCTAGGGATATACAAATATATAAGTACATAACAGGTTTCATATAATGAAAACTTTAGCACCCGTTTTGTAATTGTCTCATATTACCTTGCTCGGGTTCATTGGGAAAACGCAATATTACACAGAAGCTTATAATATTTCTTAACGCATTTTCAGATAAGACAGAAAAAACTAATCACTATTTGTCTTGATCATAGATCGAAATAGGTAGTTATCCCACTAGAAGTGTCATTGTCATTAGTATGGCTATGCTCCAAAAATTAGATACATAAATTATTTTTAAATATCTTTGTTACAAGTAGTAATAAATCAATACTCGTCCAGTTGTAAAAAGAAACGCACCAAAAGGAATCGGAACAAGAGAGATATCTGAACGTGGAGTCTAAAAATCTGTAGTGATACTAGTATTGATATATTGTTGTCGCTGTGTATAAATCCATGTTATGTTAACGCTGTATGATTTCTTTTAGAGCTCTACTTATTCCGATCTATGGTTATTACAGTGTAGGGCATGGCGGCTCATGCCCTACAAATAAAAGATACTTGAGTAACTTCAAATATTTATGAAGATATAAACGCAAATTAAGTGGTGTCCTCTTACGCTAATAAAAACTTAGATACTTATTAACTACGTTTATTTTTATAAGTACGTCGATCTCGATTAAGTGGGTCTTGTTAAGTTAAAACAGTATCAGGGAATATTATTTTATTCTTGTATAATTTATATTAATATTATCGAGTTCCAATTTAAAATCATTAAAAATTAAGTAATCGTTAAGTACCTACCGTTTATAGGGCAGTGTTCACAAAGTAGCAAGACTTTTTCTGAAATAGAATTCGATAAAAATCTGTAACTAAACATAACACACTTATATATTCAAATTCACAAAATAAATGCGTTTATTTGTCTACCATTAATCGTTTTAATCTATCGTCTACTTATAAAGAATAAAAAAAGAAATTGAATTTGTACATTGAATGAAATAATAATATATAAAATTGTGATAATTATGTGCTGTTTCGAATCGAAAATACCTCTGATATGAATAGTAACATAAATCAGAGATGTGAACACACTAAAAAAATTAAAAAATACTTAGAAATAACTAATAACAATAAAAGTGTAATAATAATTATAGAAATTAAATAATTATTTCGAGATGGTACAAACACTTAATTATGTATTTAATATATTTTGATCAACTTAAATGTTTTTTGTTAATGTACACAACATATTTTAACAATTTCAGCAATATTAGTAGCGTTTTATATTTAATGATAATTTAAATTGTTCGATACAATAGCGGTACAATTGTAGCTGACGTAAAGACAAAAGTGAGTCATAAGTATATTTTTAAATAAATAAAAAAACTTTTTTTGTAATTAGTTTTAAATAGTTGCCGACTGATCAGTTTTATGCCTTAAAAATTATGTGTACATAAAAAATAAACATATAATCAAATTTACTACAGATTAATTAGTAATTAACAGATAAATTTTCAAGTAACAGACCAAGATAAAATTATTTGACACAACAAGTCGTATTAAAAACCACGACATCCTTTACTGGTAGATAAAATTCAATTAAATTAAAGTTTTAAAATAGGTTAAAGCTTCAAATCTAGTCAAATATTTTTATTTTGATACAAATTTGAACACAAAGTTTTTTTTAACAATAAATAAACGTTAAATTCAAATAATGCAACTCCACTAATTGCATAGTTACACTGACACTACGTTGTGTGAAATTGGCAATGGATATATAATGAGATATCTATGGAAATTTAAAAAATAATAGATACTTATTTATTCACCAAGAGCGAGACACTTGTTACTCAATGAGCACAGTTGAGACCCAACGAGAATCAAAAGGTCTTAAACTGCTCGAGTGATCTATACTTACACTCGAGATATATTTAATACTTTATACTACACTTACAAGGAAAAAATAAAATAAAGCAAGGTTATTTTACACACCAAAAAGAAAAAAACTAAATACCGCACCGCGTCTGACGGAATAACACCTCATAACAAAATTGAACTCTTTAATTAAAACATTATTCTTTTTATGTAGCGTGCTGAGGATATAACAATCAGTGGCAAAGCGTTATTTTCACGATTCAAATTTCAAAATTATCATACAGCTGGTTTTCGAGACAGTGATTAGTGAGCAACTTTCGGACGTCATTCATTAGCTTAAATGAATGTTCCAAGTGAGTGTAGTATAAAAAGATCAACACATTTATTAAAATTAAATGAGTTTTTCTGTTCCGTTAGTAAATCCTTACTACATATTATTTCAATACAATAACCACTTGTATACATTTTCACAAAAACGATACGCAAAGTACCTCACCTCTTAATTATCAAAACTCCTATACTAGGCTTTACTAAATTCGATAGCAGGCATTCAATGCGGTATTTATAAATGAGAAACAATTTATTACGAGGTATGTTGTTTGCGATGTGGCTCATACTAGTTTTCAAAAACATTTTTATGCTGCCTATCAGCAAAATAGCTTGAAAGCTTGAAACAATGCAAGCTGTCGAAATCTGATCACTGCTGTGCTGTATACAGATTTTGATTAAGCAGTACTAAACATTTATCGTGACCAACTTTCAATTTAATTCGGATAATCATTACCAAGTTTCTTGTGAAACTTAAAAAAGTTTACAACATAAAAAAAATCGCGTATAACAGAATACATAGTATACAAGAATTCTCTCGTGTGGTAAATACCAGTCGCATGTGGATCAATATAGACAATGTAAGTGCCCTTATTGAATCATTCAGCAGTGATTGGACTATATAGAACTATTTTGAGTTGATCTCCTCATACATATATATTAATATGAACATGCCGTCTGGATATAAGGTTTAAACGTTTTCTAGAATTTTAATAAACGCAATTTTAGTAGCTAGAATATAATAATAATAAAATTATATATTTTAAATTAGCTCTCATGACTACATTACTAAAAATAAAATTGATGATGATGAAAATAAATTTAAATACTGGGAACGCAAGCATATCCATACTATAATACCATGTCCTAAGTGGCATAAATAGATCTATCTAGTCCGATTACTGAGTCTTAGCTATAAACGGTCGATGGATAGAACACGCAATTGTAATTTCACAAACCACACACTCAACTGTCACCGACCGCGTTGTTATTATAGATATTCTATAACAAAGTTTCTGAAAATTATAACAATTTTATAAAATCCCAAGAAAACGGTGGAGGAATTTTATTTACAGCATTTGTTTTTTTAATTATTATCCATGGTCAACCGCTACAACGTGATTGTTGTTTGTAACCACAGATACTGACTGGCGAACATGTAGCAGTTCGCTTTTTAAGTATGATTTCTAAGGATAGTTTTTAGTTGACGAGGCCCGCGTCCTTGGCCATGCCGTAAAAGATGCTGTTCTTGTCTTGCAGCAGCTGTTCTGGTGGCGCGTACTCTACCAGGTGACCCTTATCCAGAACCATCACTCGGGTAGAGTCCATTATTGTGTTCAAACGGTGAGCGATAGTAAGTACTGTGCACGATGCGAATTCGGAACGGATGGTTTTCTGCGTTTTGGATAAATAAGATATTCTTTATTTATTTTAGGATATTCTATGTAAGGACTTAAGTACATTTTAAATAGTTTTTTGACCTCGTCCTCAACTACGTCAGTGGAAGTAAGTAAAACTATTTACTTTAAATTTTTTAATAGCAGAAAAAGGAAAAATGCATCTTCCACCATTCAGATTTCCCTTTGTGTAATAAAAAAACAAAGACATTCCACCATATTTTGGCATACGTAATAGTTGAATGATCCCAAGAAGCAATAAGCAAAAAATTAAGTCGTAATTATATTCATTATTCTTCATACACATTCAAGTTTTTCAGAATATCTTAAGACTTGCATTTACGTTGTAGTTAGACTTTCTTATTTACTTATGACATGATCAGGTAATAGTAATAGTGAGCTTTATGTGGGCGTAACAAGATTCAATATATTAAACTGACCTGTATAAGTTCATCGGTCTCGAGATCGACGGCGGCGGTGGCTTCGTCGAGCACGAGTAGTGGAGTCTTGCGAAGCAGTGCGCGAGCGAGACATACTAGTTGTCTCTGTCCCACAGACAAATTCTCGCCTCCTTCCGATATCTCGTGCCTCAAACCCGCTTGCAGCCCTGCGTATACACATCAAACTCATTTTAATATTACATTGATGGAAGTGTTTTTATCACTAAATATATAGGTCATAGCCTGAATATGGTGATAGCAGGAAGTGGCAAAGATAAATCTAGGAAAGGCATCGTCGCGTCTTTTGCTCGCTTTCTTAAAAACAGGCGTAGAGTAAATACCATTTTTTTTCTATTTGTTACCGATAACCAGACTTTTATGCTTATTTATTATATTTACAATACTGCTTAAATGAATTATGAAAAACAAATATTTCATCTTTTATAAAATTTTATGTTGTCACGTTAAAGCAAACAGCACGTTACGTCATGCCCCTCTTACTCTTACTTACGTAGAACGATATTAGTTTCAGAGGACCGTGACCTCATAGAGATGCCATGACAGAAGTTGGTGTTTTAATTTTGAAAATTAAATTTATTTTAAGATTTTAACTTATATGAAGGATGCTTTTTTTCTAGATATTTCAAGTATCTATTAAATAAAAATATACAGAAAGCTGTCTACATTACTCATATTAAACTTTCGCGGATGTTTTATAATTTTGTAGTATAGAACTGGGGTTGGGACTGCAATCGTTCAAATCTAATATATGCATTTTTATGATACTAGGAATTGATCTGTTTCTATTTCAAATTCCATAAAGGTGATTCTATTTGACGTGGAATCACGTGGACCACGTCCAGTCAGGTGAGTAATAGCACGACATTGGAATGATTACGATGCCAATACAAGTGCTCAATTTGACGGAGTAATGAAGTCTATACTTATATTATGAGGGTGAAGAGTGTTCGTTTGACTAAATGCGCTAATCTGAGGAACTACTGGTTCTAATCGAAAAAATGTTTTTGTGCTGAATATTTTATTTATTGAGGAGCTTATAGACTATATAAATATCACGCTATGACTAATAGGAGTGAAGCAGTAATGAATGATGTTGCAAAAATGGGAGAACCACGCGGACGAAGCTGCTGGCGGAAAGTTGGTAGTACATAAATAGCGTGCTTTTTAAATCTAAATAAGAAATAAAGGGGAAATGGCAATATTTTTTTTCCTTAGTGTACATACATCAAATAGTATTTCAAGGCAAGTCAAGGAACATAATTTCGTAGCCGAGTGATTCGAACACCAGTTTCAAAGCCTGAAGTCCCGGGTTCGGATCCCGGTCGGGTTAATATAGAAAATGGGCATTTATATATTGTCTTGGGTCTGTGTCTTATTATACCTGCGTTATCTCAGATGCTCCATGTTACAGAGGCTTAGAATCTGTAATGTATGTGATGTTGTCGAATATTTAACGTAACCCTAGCGGATAGTGTAACACATATAGTAAATATCAAAATTAGCCTATATTTCGTACGCCGTCTCTTAGAAAGTAGCGTAACTATATTTTAATTTAAATAGTATTTTATAACAAATATTACTGTTTTATTTCATTTTAACTAAAAGTTAGACTATATATAAAACTTTTTATGCCCTGAACGTATTTTGTGACATATTTGGTCTAGATATTTCAATTATTTTTCTATAAACATACATAATTTCCAATAAAATGTATATATTTTTTATGTTCAATTTAGAAAAATCATGCACTGTAGGGTTAATTAATACCTTTGACGAAGTTCTTAAGATGTGCATGCTCTAGCGATCGCCAGAGCTCTTCGTCTGTGTACGCTTCGAAGGGATCAAGATTCATTCGCAGCGTGCCCGAGAACAATACAGGGTCCTGAGGGATGATGGTGATGCGCGAACGCAACTGGTGAAGTCCAATTGTCGCGATATCGATCCCGTCGATCAATATCTTGCCACCCATCGCTTCGACGATCCTTGATAGTAAATGATAAGAGATTAAACATACAGCACACATAGTTACAGCTTCTTGAAGAGGCAATGAAAATGATAAATTCTGACATTAGTACTTTCGATCGACAATAGAACTAGATAACGCCTTGCATACTAAAACAATACTCAAATACGGCACCATATGCTGTGAAAACCAAGGAACATAATACCACAGAGTATATTCTGTGATAAATACTCTACTCGACAACTGAGCTCCGGGACTAGGTAAGTATGGAGTCACATTGACAATTTTATTTTTCTTAGTAAAATATATGTGTAATTATATACGTTGATAATTTAGGGAGGTAGAAGGTTTTCAATTTAAATGAAAAAATCTTTTAGTTTGCACACATTATAATTTAAAAATTAACGTTACAATGTTAAGAAGGCAATTTATAGCGAAATAATCTTTCAGTAGTAACAAGGTAGTGGTGGTTTTCTTCACTAACGACTTTCTATTTTTTATATAAATAATTCTAAAACAAAATGTAATACAAATCAAACATAGTAATATTAACTACCTTTAAATATATTAAGTTTATTATAAAGTTGTCTTTTAAACTTATTTTTAATCTAAGCCGTTTATTTTCTGCATATGTAGAAAAGAAACCTAACGTCAATAAAACATTCAACGACTAAATTCAGAAATTCTGTTTTCTGGTTTAATTCGTCACTTTCAAGGAACGTATCTTTTGTTTTAAATAGTTTTATTGTTAATAGATACTCAAAATAGATAAACAAAAAGTTCAATTAGCACCTTAAAGTGCTAATTGAACTTTTTGTGGCTATTAGAATGCTTTTACCCGACTTTATTAATGCTATTATACAAAAGTTGTAGTGCTATTGCACAGCTTTTATATAGCTTAAAGTCGTGCAAAGGGGAAATTTTACGTATAAGAGTCATTTAAAAGAAATACGGTTGATATACGATTTTATTATAATGCTTGGACTCGTGCTATTCTAAGTTTGATATAATGGAGTTTTGTGCTACTTGGGGGTATGTTTCTTATACGCCGCGTATTATGTTACACGCTGGTAAATAAACAAAACCTCATAATACTAATATCGTCAACAGGAAACCATATTTACTAGCGTGTGACATCATCGGAGTTGCAACATTAACAAGGCGTTTTCGTCTCTGATAAAATATAAAATATATATATATATATATATATATATATATATATATATACATATTATATTGTGTAATCTGCAAAAATTATACATTATTTCGTTTAAATTAAAGTGAAAGATGTGTTATTACGCTATTATCTTATGGGACGAATACAATTTTTAATGTTGTCAAATACCCTATTTGTACCGACTTGTATATGAGTAGATCGGTGGCGTAGTGGTTAAGCGCCGCGGTCCGCGATCGTTGTCGTTAAGCAACTTTCGCAAGGGTCGTTCACGGTATGGGTGACCAAAAAAATTATTATCTTGAACTACTCCGTGTTTCGGAAGGCACGTTAAGCAGTTGGTCCCGGCTGCATTTGCAGCCATTAATACCCTCCAATCCGTATTTGGCCAGCGTGGAGGGTCATGGCCCATCCACTTTAACCATAAGGAAAGCCTGAGCCCCTGGAGTGGGGACGTAAAAGGGCTGATGATGATGATGTATATGCGGGTACCTGAACAGGCCGAGCGTGAGGGTAGACTTGCCGGCGCCGGTCCGTCCGACGATGCCGAGTTTATCGCGCGGCGCGACCGTGCACGTAATGTCACGGAGGGCCGGCTCACCCGTGCGGTAACCGAGCGTTAACTGCTCCAGTTGGAGCGCGCCCGTCTCCGGCCAAGTAGAGCCCGGACCGTTCGGTAGATTCCATTGCGCCTCCTGACATGAAAATGAAAAATGTTATTATTTTATTAAACATTACAAACTTTAAGGACCATTTTCTGTTATATCGTTTTATAGCATGTGATCTCTCGTGTCCTAATTCGATGTTTTTTTTACGCATAAGATTATCCAAATTCCTTTCTGTTAAGTATAGGCATATGTTTCGCATTTACGAATTTGTATTTTACTGAACCTTGGATATGTTTTATTTTAGTTTTTAAAATACTTTAATAGAAAAAATTGATTCAAATTTGCATTTTATTACAAACCTGTTGTGTCTCAGCGTATTCCTTTATTCTCTCAACTGCTACTATATTCGTTTCAACCTCCGAAGTCATTCTTACTAACCAATTTAGTGTCTGTGTTATCTGAGGATAAATGGAATAAATAATTTCATTGAATTGTTCAGCAATCGTTATATCAAATAACTGTCAAGTCGAACTTCACAATATTGAAAAATTTCACTTCCATATTACAAAGCCGAGAGTCGAAACACCTAAGACAGGGGTTGGCAAACTTAAAGAGACCCTAAAGTTAGAGCCAAAACTACAATTTACAAAATTTTACAGTTTTAAAGAATCACTAAAAGATTTCATTACAATATTCATATAATTTCTTTAAAATAGACGACTTTGAATATTTATCTTTCACTTATAGTCAGAACATCTCAATTATAGTTATAGTATGGGTAGTCAACTATGGACGATTTAAAAAGAAATTGACAGTAAATTTTTTTTTTTTTAATGTAACCCACTATTTTACAATGAAAGAGCCACTTGAAACACGCGAGCCGCAGGTTGAAGACTCCTGATATCAGATTTACCGATGCCGAGGGTGCTAGCCATTTTAGTAATAGAGATGCTGGCGAATGTTTTTTAAATAAAGCTGTTTAGCTGATTATACCTGTAAGGCATAACTGACGGAGAGTCCGACGAGGCCAGGGTTAATGGTGTCCCGGTTCAGTACGGCAAACAAAGCCGAAAAGAAAATTATCAGGTTCCCGATCATCTCCAAGCGGACTGCCAGCCATCGATTCGCGATACAACTGGGATAGTAACACGTCTGATTGTGATCAACACCACGTTCAGATTCTTCAACGAACCTAGAATAAAAATAAAAGATTTTAAGGTAATAAAAAGTGTGAAATTATTATTTTTTCAGGTTTAAACAAACTAAACTTAAAAGGATTTTGACAGTACAGGTGCTCATGAACCTTTTTTATTTTTGGAATCCCCTCGAGGATACACTCTTTCATTTAAATTAGTATAATATATAATTTAAATTAGTCCACTATTGACGAACTTTATTGCAACATGTATACACGACAGAAGGGCAGGTTACTATATAAAATGTCAAACCGCGGTTGACTTCATCCGTAACAGAAGCTTTGTTTCATTAGTATTTTTAGAAACACTTTTGACCTACAAATGGTACTCGTAGCAAAACAAATAATACAGAATATACCTTTACCAGTATGCCAAACAACATGAAATTTTTAACATGTAATCAAAATAAAGTTATTAAATAATTTAGTCACATTTATTTTCCAATATATAATAAATAAATCAATTAACATAAATGTTACCAAATTTTTCAATGGAAATCAACAAATTTAATCATTAATCGGTAACGAATTTCTATATAATCGCACATACCTTTGAGTAACACCATATGCTCTGATAGTGGACGCTCCAGTAATACTCTCTCCAAAGTGAGAATATATCGGTGACCTAGAGACCGACTCTAATCGCTTCAGTTGTCGCGATGTCGCCACGTAAAACCTCTGGATGACGTAGTACACGACACCAATGGGCAAAATTACCGCCAAGAAGATTGGAGTCGACAGACTTATCACGAACAACGTCCCGAGTACCTACAGTATTATATTATAGTTAGATAAGGGTAATGGCATTTAGCATATATGCAATCTAAGACCTCCTGTACTACAGTATACGGATTTATTATGAGAATTATGTAATACAGACTTCACAATTTTACTTATAATTTAAAGCACAATATTACATCATTGATATTCTGGTACAGGTTCTTATAATAAAAGTGCATAGTATGCCATCGAACATAGTTTAGGTTAGATAAATAAATAAATGTATTATAATTTGTTTGCCCTGGGATCAGTTTACAAAAGCAACTCAACTGTTAGTTACAAATGGAATTATATATTTGTGTTCTTTTTTCATGGTGTATTAGTTAACCAAATTACTCTATTTAAAACGAATTGTTAAATAATATGAAGTGATAGTTGTGAGAGTAACACACCAAAGTCTGATTAATAAAAGTCGCCCATATAATGTTTCCTCATATGAACATACAATGAAAACTTATTAAACATTTTGCTACGCAGAGAAATTATTAAGTTATATTTTATGATATATTATTTGATTAATGAATACCCAATATTTTTCACATACAAGAATAAAGATTTTCACATCTAGCAAGATATGTAGAGAGGCAACTTCAATATGGTCAGACGTTGACAAAACAAATATTATCAACACAACGTAACTTAGAAACGAAAAAGGTAAAATATTTAAGACAAAGAAACCAAACACTTAACAATCAATACGTAAAGTTGTAACATAAAATACCCACCGAAATAAACACAATAAAAATCCATAAAATATGAGGTGCGAAAGAGAAACAAAAACGTATTTTCTTCTCTGGAGGATTACCTCGAATGCGCAAAATATCGCATCTGAACACTGAGAGGGGAGTGACGTATCCAAAACGTCAATGTCTTTAGAGAATCTAGAAAGTATCCTGCCAACGGGCGTCACATCGAAGAATTGCAACGGAGCCTTTAGCATACTGTCCAATAAGAGGGCGTGAACAGTCCTCGCAGCCCGCCAACACGCCAAATAGAGCATTAAATCGGCAAATATCGAAGTAATCGCTGTAACAACGTTCATGAAAAATAATAAATTAATCGCTCTCCATTACAACCCAAATAACTCTAAATAATGAATACATTTTTTACGTCACCGTCTGAGAAGTGAATGCGCGACAACTAACGATACTACGGTGCATGAATGTATAAGGTGCTAGGGCGGTACAAACTACTTAGCTCACTACTGCTGAAGTACAATTCTAAGGCTTAAAACATGCACATTAATTGTTTTTTTTTTTTGTAAATACGAATATTTAAGCGCGCATCATTATTAGTTTTGTTAACGCCTAGTGTTAGTGTAAAAATATTGGGTTTATAAAAGCTCGATATAATTCATTTATAGAGGAAATCAAACATAAACTGATCCCACGTCAGTGATTTCGAATGGTACATTTTGAACATTAGTGTTACTTAAAATCCGTTCAAAAGGTCCAAAACGCATTGATATAAACTGTAATAGTTTCCATTGCACAAGTTCTTTTTATAGGAGTATGATAATGTCATATTTGCATACAAGTATTTGCGCAATCAGTGTTTTTCATCTTAATCATAATCTGTGATTGAAACTGGCCGCAGGTTAATATGAACATTGTAAGTATATTTATGAGTTTGACACTCAAATTGCATGCAACGAAGATCTAGTATAAATACTAGCATTCAGAATGCGTATTAAATAAAAATACTGTTGTTACAATACAAGTCGGACTTGAGATTACTCTGATTATTTAATTGTAATTAATAGATTTATTTGAATTTTATATTAATTCTTGATTTGAACCTTCAAAAACTCGTTTTTAATCATATATAATACATTTTACATTGTTCATGGATGTCAATATCAACGCTGACATATAATATGTATTATAAAAAGAATGAGTTAACATTAATTTTGTGTCATTTAATCTCATGGTATTATGGATCAGTTACTGACAAGAAATAAATGTGACACATTTGATAGATGTGCAATTTAGATTATATTTTATAAAATGATTTCGCATCCAGATTTTTGTATTAACAAAATATCCTCGAGTACAGCGACCGCAGTGCCGGTTGGTGGCGATGTAGACAGAAACGCACTCGAAAGACTAAAAAAGAGCAACACTTTTAAGTATGTCTAAAAAATTGTCTAATATGCAAAAAGAAGCAACCTTTTAGACAAAGACATGTATTGTTTTCAAATAATTTCAGTAGCAACGTTGCCGCTTATTTCAAACTCTTTAGACTGTAAGGCGGGAAAATCAGCCCGTTGGTTTTACGTTTTAAAATTAGTTAAAACAGTAGTATACGACACTATAATCACGCAGTAGCGTATTCGCCGCTCATATGGCGCGCGACGCTCGTTGCCGCTGCAGTCTAGAACGGTTTATGCAAACTTATGCATTTCTATCAAGTCTAGTTTACGACCTTACAATTAAAAGTATATCAACAGATACGATACACATGTCTATTTCGTGATAATTGAAATCGTTTTTTCACCGTAATCCACCGGTGCTGTACCCGAGGAGAAAGCGTCCTGAAAGTGAGAAAAAACAAAACTTGACACGAACGACGATCGCGGAATCACCGGCGCCGGTTCATACCGCAAAGAAGCAGGAAGTCCAGCCGCGCAGCGTCATCGGGAGGACATTGTCGAGCACGTCCACGTCCTTGCTGAACCGGTTGAGCACTCGTCCGACGGGCGTGCAGTCGAAGAAGCCGATGGTGGGCGCGCGCAGCACACCGGCCAGCAGCGCCGCGTGCAGCGCTCGCGCCGCCGCCAGCGCGCCCAGATACAGCGCCAGCGACGACACCGACACCGATACCACTGCGACCACCCCCCATCGACTTTCAGCCAATTGCACAGACGTCCATTAAAATTGTAATAAGTTTAAAATTTTACATTTTTTAGAGTTAAAAGGAGTCATTAAACCTTAATGGACTTTTTGTGCAACAGACCGTTTATCTCACAACCAGTGGCGGATTGATATCGACGGCGCTCTAGGCAAGTGCCTTCTGACGTAGCACTATTATCATAACACAAATATTATTGTCGGATCACTAAGTTTGTATTTTCAAGTCACTATTATTAAATAAATATATTAACATAACAATTAAAGACGCGAAACCATTGCCAAAACTATCATGCACAAACGCAAGATATCGAATGTATAATCTAATGTCTAGAGCGTTTTTGGTAAGAAGAGTATTACAAAAGTCGAGAAATTTCTTTGATCTATTTTTCTAGGAACATGCCTAGTTTGCCTAAAAAACAATCCGCCACTGTTCTATACTAACATAGAAACCACGACTGATGAGCACTGCTTCTACGCGTAACAAAAAAAACGACATACGCGTGAATACTCATAGAGCATACCCGGTAGAAAGAATTACTCAAATTAAAACCCTTATGATATCAAAGATTCATGATATTTTCTATAATGACATAAAATAAATTAATACAAAAGAATATATTGAATAATATAAAAAGTATACAAAAAACTATAAAAAAAGGATTTAATAAGATCGTACGCAACACCCTGCAGGTCGTTTTTTTTTCGCCACTAGATCAAAACGGTATGCCTGAGCCCGTTCGTATGTCACAGTAACACATTAAGAAAAAAATGAACATTGCTGATCTTATAATATTTCAGAATACAAATTTCCACAATTACTTAAGTAACTTAATTTTTTGGTTTGATTGTGTATTGAAAGTGTATATTTGTTTGTTGGTTAGAGCAGTCACCCGGATTGCGAAAGGTCCTGGGTTCGAGTCCCATCTCAGAGCAAGTGAATTTTTTGAGCATTTTCATTAGGAATATTTTTTAGCATAGGATTTTAAATGCAAAATTAATCAAATATAACAAATTTTCATCTTAATTGAAGGTTAAAAATATTTGGAGATATTCCCAAAAATTTTAAAGTACCTAGGGCAAGATTTTTTTAGCATTATTGATTAAGAGTTGGGAAAATGGCAAAAGAAACTGGAGGAGTTCGGTCTCGAAATCAGCAGAACCAAAACCGAACATCTGTTCTGCGATTTTGGTGGAACCTCCGGTTTCCAAAACATTGCCTTAAATGGTGTAACCTTACCAATCTGCTCCGACTTCAGGTACCTTGGGTCATTAATACAAAACGATGGCGATATTGACCGTGACGTGAGGAATAGAATAAATGCGGGATGGATGAAATGGCGAGAGGTCTCAGGAACGATATGCGATCCACGAATGCCCCTTAAACTTAAAGAGGAAAATCTATAAAATCTATCGTAAGACCTGTCGTACTGTATGGTTCTGAATGTTGGGCTACTAAAGGGACGGATGAAAGGCGAGTACATGTGGCAGAGATGCGAATGTTGAGATGGATGTGTGGAGTGACGCGAATGGACAAGATTAGAAATGAGTACGTAAGAGGAAGCCTGAAAGTTGCACCTGTGACGGAGAAAATGAGGAGTAATTGACTAGCGTAGTATGGGCATGTTATGAGAAGGGACGAAAGTCATGTTACGAAAAGAGTGATGGGTATGCATGTGGATGGATATGTGAGTAGAGGCAGACCGAAGAAATGATGGATCGACTGTGTGAAAGAGGATATGAATAAGAAAGGTGTGGATGTGGAGCTGACGTCTGACAGAGAAGAATGGAAGAAGAAAACATGTTGTGCCGACCCCACGTGGGATAAAGGGCAGGAGGATTGTGATGATTAAGAATACTTATGTTCTTATGAACCATATTATGTACATAATTAATTATTAATTCTAAAGGATCACACCAGGTATCGCATAATGATCCCAAGAAAATATAGATACAAATACCTAGTCTGATTTTCACGCATACAGTGCTCATCATTTATGGTACGATACACAAGAAAACCTACATTGTACGACTACAATTTATTTTTGCACGAACATTTTGACTGTAGGATTTTATTGAATGTTTCTCGTAATATCACGCGGTATACAACTGTCGATGATAATGATATACATCCCGCCTTTTCAATGTTAGTACAAGTTAGTTTTTATTTTAAATAATAAAATTTCATTATTACAAATAAAATATCATACATAGATATTGTAGTTCTGATAATATGCTCACAATATTTATAACATTAAATAATAATATAATAAAATAATTTAGCATTGCTCATGCAAAAATTATTGTTGAACGCTGTTCTCATAACTTTAGAAAGCGGACGCAGTGGCATTATGGAGGTTCTATTGTTTTAATATTTTTAAAAAAGAATTCCAAAGAGAAAGTTCAATGTCACCATTATTACATGCATATTTTAGAAAAATATATAACATGTAAATTAATAATGAAGCATGCAAATATGATGAAAAAAGAAAATTAAATCTATAAGATAATATTTAAAAGGGGACTGATCAATAGGAACATAAACAATGTATTCATTATTTATTTCACATTAAGTATTAGTTCATAAATAAGGTTATAATTTCGTACATACAATATTATAACAACCACCAAATCATAAATTATTGATAATAATACTGGTGAATTCGAGTATCATTCATTTAGTGCTTGTTCAAGTACAAAAAGCGGGCACGGGCATGGCAGAAGGCGCCATGATCTAAGTGAGCTCATGTTCATATCGGCTTTTAGCACGCGCAGTATGACAAACTCGAAAAACACTTCTGCACCAAATGTCACTTTTCTCCAGTCGAGAGTGAGATGAATGGGCCGACCTGAGAATAGTGACATTTGAGCAGGGTTGCCACCCGTCCCGAATTTTCGAGTCTCGATTTCAACGATACTGTGCGTGACCAGATTTCTTATTAATTTTGTCCCGTTTTTTAGATAACGTTTGACAATTACTCTTTTCGCGCCTAATGTATCCATGCAGATCCTGCCGCGGTGTCATTGTTTTATTTTCCTTTGACACTTAACTGAAGTCCGTTTACTTCCTGATGACCGGATTTTGTTTCTCAAAAGGTGGCAACCCTGCATTTGGGTGTAGACCAAACTTTCTGTTTGATAAGCTACGCGTGCAGGCGTTTGCGCGACTCTGACATGTAAAAGGCGTTCTAAATGCGGACGGACGATCTATTATTATTCGTCAAAATTATTAAAAAGAACCGTTCTGTGTTCGCTTTGCCAATTTGGAGTTCTAGTTCAAGCTAAACTCTTATGTACTGAATGGCATGATGAAAATCTTGTATCGTTGGAAGTGATTATTTCAAACCGTTAGTACCTACATGACGTTACGTGCGAATCGCTCACTTCGCCGATAGTTGGACGTGAACATACAAAGAGAATATTTGCATATTGTGCTATGTACCGCGCTCGCAACGTTATATGAACAAGCACTTAGAATTTTAAATTAACCGAATATGACAGATTGCACAATGGCTATTATATTACCGTGTTAAATAAAAATGTAATTTTAACTAAAAAGTTCACAACACTTATCATATGTTATCACAAAATTCTTAAATAAGAGTAAGACATGTGACGAAATACTTCATGATAACATCAAAATAAAAATTTCGAGTACAAAAGCTTGTACTCGATGTGTTTATCGATAAAGCTTGGTGTCTCGCAGCTTTAGGCTGTTATCGCTTGTTCTAGCTCTACAAATTCACACTGCGAACACAGTAACTTTGAGCGCGAAAAAAAATCGAATACGTATCGAGCATAAATGTCCAAGTATTAGAAATCTTAGTTTCGTGTACACGAGTATATTGTGTTAAGCAAATGTCAATACCGACATTCGATATTCGTGCTTCGAAGCGCACTCGTTAATTTTCATGCTAAAGGGCCGTTAGCATTTAAATGTTTATTGTGCACATTGTGAATTTCCCGGGGATTAATAATTTATTTAAAAATGTAATAATTATTTTTGTAAGAGCCAATATCAGTCAAGATTGCCATTATTTGGGAATTAAATCTCTATACTTAGTGAACTTCGTAAGAATTTACTGTTTATTCAGTCACATATATCAATTTAATCGGAACCGCGTTTAAAAATTAATATCTGAAATATATATATTTTTTAACATTAATCTTCATGTTAATAACAGTATTGATAAGAGGCGCAATCGTTTTTCGAAAATAAATATCTTTGTACATTAAAGTAATAAATTAAAACCGATATTGAACTTTAAAAGATTTATTTTGAATAGTAATGGATGATTTGTATCTGTGAACTCATCATATTTTCAATATACATAAGATGTTAAATATTGTAAATGAGCAACAGTTTGAAATAGTTATCAATGAAACCCTCATCCATTGGCATAAGTTTAGAAATTGAATGACCATGCCTTGTCATTAAGGTGTTAGAGTGGGTTTGAATGCATAACTTACCTTGTCCGATACCCAAACCGCCGTAAACGCCGAGATAGAGATCCCGTCGAGCTCTATCCACAGTGCCGTTAACCATCTGAAAGAAAAGATATCACTTGACAAATATTCTGATGCAAATGTATAATACTCTGTTTAATATTATGTCCATAAGAATCTATAAAAGAATTAAGAGAAGACAAAACAAAAGATCAATAAAAATTCTCTTCATACAGAGGACGATTAAATCGAATTTCATGATTAAATCGAACGATTAAATGTTGCCAGTAGCCATAAAAATAAGAGAGCTAGTAAGAGTTAAGAGTCAAGAAACCGATGAATGTATGTTGTACTTATCACCAAACTTCATACCCCCCTCGCTACCCTGCATTATACCGTCACCACGAGAGGTCGGTAGCGATAGCATATTATAAAGCTAAGTGCCTTTGCGATTTCAAAATTTAGAGTTATTCTTTTGCTGTTTGTTTTTTTACGTTTGGAATTTTTTGTCTGTCTGTTGAGTTTTTTTCAGATAAAATTTATTTTATAAAACACATATTTATATTTTCCGCGATTTGGAAGCTACGTTAAACCGTTGGTCCCGGCTGCATCTGCAGTCGTTAAAACCCACCAATCCGCACTGGGACCGCTTGGTAGGCCATGGCCCATTCATCCTATTTTATTCCATTCATATAGAAAGCTTGAGCACCAGCAGTGGGGATATTAATAGGCTGGTGATGGTAGTGAAGTTAATTTAAGTTCGAAATGGCAACATTTTTGCGTTGTATTTTACAAATAAGTTATCGTTGTCTTTGTTTCTACTGCACAAAGGATTTGACGTGAAGAAATAATTGTAAAATACCAGCGACTATCACTGGTAATACCCACAGTAACATAAAATTGTTTTATAGTGAACAACGTCTATGAAGATTGACAACACTATACACTGGATACTATGAATATAGCTCACCATAGATTGGTCGTTAGACCATTCCGCTAGCCAGTAGTTAGAGCCGACCTGGAAGACTTGCAGTATCAAATTCATCAGCACAGTTACCACGGACGCCAGTACACCCACACTCATCAAGTAATGCTTGTATACACTCCATTTCACCTAAAATTTATTAAAATAGTTTACTAATTTTATATACAGAATTATTTTCAATGTTAACATTTACGGGTGTCATTTTTTTTTTAATTAGTAAGAATGCAATAGTAAAAGAATGAATAATGTTATTTTATTAGAAAGAAAATATTGTGAATCATACAAATATAAAGTCGATAAATAGACTTACACTTCCAGTTTCCGTTTTCTCCGTTTCAATAAGTTTGGATTTCTCTTTGAGTTCATTGGGCGTGGCTTCTGGTGTTTTTCTTTTAACACTACCCGCCCTGTCACCTATTCAAAGATTTTTTTTTATAATTATCAAAATTAACTAACAGGAACATACTAACTTTTGCTGCAAACAATTTTAAAATCTAAAACCTAAATAATTATTGCATCTTTGAATTGGATTACCAGAATAATGGTCAAGAAGATTGGTAGTAAAAATAGAATAAGCAAATTAAACGATTTCACTTTTAAAACGTTTATACCTATATAAAGTATTACCTGAACTAGCCGGTTCAGTTTCCGAATTACTTTCTGATAATGATCTCGCTCTCTGTAATTTTGTTTGGAATTCAGTGCCAAGTTTTGTCTCGAGCTGTTCTTTGATTGCGTCCAATTCTAAAAATAATATAAACATTATTCTTTCCATAATTTCCGAATAAGTGTACGCTTTTTTTTACGCTCGACAAGTTTCCTTCTTTGTTACCTTCAGGAGAAGTCCTCTCGGCGTCACTGAGATGGTGCAATAGAAATTCAGCGAATGCTCCCTTTTTCTCCAACAACTGCTGATAAGTACCAGCTTCGGATATTTCGCCGTCACGCAACACGAGTACGAGGTCCGTTTGTGCTAAATAAGACACGCTATGCGTCACCCAAACGCGTGTTTTCGACTTGAGTAGTCCATTGGGGCCGATCACCTATGCAAAACTGAAGTTTTGTATAACGATGTCAAGTACCAATAAATAAAAAATTACAAACTAAATATAAGTTAATAATATTATTTTTAAAGAGCTTAAAAACCATAAATCTGAAAGTCATATCCATATTAATATAACTCCATGTTCGATGGCATCGACCCAAAACAAAATAGCATTGCTATAATGATTATTCAAGTTATAACTAATGGATTATATTGGATTAAATATTGTCATGGTTTTACTCATATATAGGGAAAGGAGTTGGACGTCTGCAAGTCTACTACCGTGTTAACTCTATTGTCTTTTGATTGGCATCAGCTTAAATCTATTTCAATATAATTTCAGCCAACAGCAGGAGTACCATATCGAACTGGCGTATACGTGTAAAAAAACAGCTCCCGTCATTATATACATTGTTTGCTTTACCTTACCTTCTCAAAAATGTGTTTTCCAACATGCGAGTCCACAGCACTGAGCGGGTCATCCAAGAAGTAATTGTCGGCGTCAAAGTACACCGCTCTAGCAAGTGACACTCGCTGTTTTTGACCACCAGATAAGTTGATACCTGTACAATAAACAGTATACGTAAAGCTTGGTTTAACAATAAATTAAAAACTTCCAGATGGGATTCAAACCCATGACCTTTTGTAATTCAGGCGGCTGCTCTAACTACTGAGCTACCCAGGACTCAAAATTTTTTGCCATCTTTAATTTCTTTATATATATTGGGCAACTTGTTATAAATTTTTATTGACATGATTAATGGACTTGAAGAATGATGTTTCATTTTAGAAGGTGGTTATTTATTAATTAATTATTTATTTCTTTATTTCTGGGTCTAAAAGGTTTAATTATGGTATCATCTCGCTTGGTATAGAAATTTGGGTATTTTCGAACAAATCTGCATAGTTCAAGTATATATAAACAAGGTAGCGTTAAGATTTTATATTTTATAAAGTAAGGTTTGCATGATTCTATTTCATCTTTATCAAACATTATTCTCACGAGTTTTTTTTTGTTTTGTGGACCTAACAGAACTGACGAATTTTTCAAGCACTTGTTACTTTTTCTCTATTAGTAAGCGTATTTTCATCAATACTCAGGCAATCCACCCAAACAGTCGAAAGAATGAAAATTAGTTCTATTTATTATATTTGATCAATTGCTTAAACACTCTACCATTCCCTGGTACTCTGAGATGGGACTGGAAGTCACGACCTTTCGTAATCCGGGCTACTGCTCTAACTAGTGAGCATTAAGCATTTTTCAACAGAATATTTTCCACAATGATATACCCATTTTGAATCCAAAATTGATCAAATATAATAATAACAAACATGTTAGAGAATTAGTTATGCAAATATTGAGTTGGACCATTCATTACGTCATAACTTTAACCCCCTATTCCACCCTCCTAGGGAATGAATTCCCGAAAGCCTTTCGTAGCGAGTATTTTCTTCACAAATATCTCTACTGATTAAAGACCATTGATCAAACTTTAAAAGTTTATGATAGGCGATGATGAATCAGCCATTGAATAAAAAGTTATTTTATTTATATATCTATTTAAAATCACAACTAAGTCAATTAGTTGATCAATCTTAAATTTTTAAATAAATTTTATTAAAAAATATAAATGCCCAGTGGGCGGAAATTTATAGGCGCTTATGGGGAAAATCCCAATTCACCCTAAATGCTCGGGCATTTTCCCATCACGGAGTGCAACATATTCAGTTGTCAACTTAGTCAGCGTGACAGTTATACTTACACTTGACATAAACCTTAACTACTATAATGATGCAATCCATCCCAAGATATTTAAATTTTCATCGGGTTTTCTATTTAAATGACAACCTCATCGTATTTTATACATTGTTAGGAATCATAGTATAGGCACAACCGTGACATTATATTTACGTGTTAGCTCTGCTGCAAACGTTAACCGTGTACTACTCGTAGATATAATAGGGTTGCATTTATTTCGCGAGAAGCTAGAAGACGAAAAGATGCTAGTTAGCATATCTTTAGCTATATCTGTTGTCGGGTTCAATAGTACAATACAATTAATCGAATTAATGGATTAAGGAATGGAGTAATGGAAAAAATATTTTCTGGTCATTACCAGTTGCCTAAAATGCACAGGTTTTGTTATTTTAACGTTAACTCAAACACAGGTTGTGTTGATCAACAGATTGATTTTTGTACAATCAGCATTGTCGTTGGAATATTATCTGAACTCCATTTCAATGTTAACTTGGTTACCAAGTTGATGTCATCAATCATGATAAGTGGGCTTGATAATTCTAATATGACAGTACTACATTCACTTTGTCTTTCCGCCCATCGCCACGCTTATCGTAATAAATTTCTTGAAATATCTGAGATAATTACTCGGCGTCATATTTTTATTTTGAAATAAAAGAATGAAACTTTATAGAGGCTAAGCGTTTAAATTCATGATAATACAAATATAGAGAAAAAAATACTTATACGAAATGGTAGTAATACATAAATAATTATATATAAAGAGAATTCACATGCGATCAATATAACATGGTTAGTAGATACATGAATTTATTATTTGTTGTACCAGAACCTTACAAAGAATTAATTTGTATAGATTAGTTCATTTATATATAGACAATATAAACAAAATCAATTAACATTATTACTGATATAAAATTAAAAACAGGAATGATATCACATAAATAGCAAAGTGTTGAAAATCGAACCGAATAAAATTACTATGAGATTTCACAACATTTCAAATTAATTTCGTATGTTTACACAATATTTTGAAATATTGAAAGAAAATGAACTATTCAATAAATATTCAGAAAATAGGTTCACAAACAATAATCAAAATGCCAAATTGTTCATAGTTTCGATTTTAAATAGCAAAATTAATTACGCGAGTTGTACTGAGCACTAACTGTAAATAAAAAGTACATTTTCAAAGAAGCTTAAATATATCGAAATATATCTTTACTAAATTAAGCAGTGAACTTCTATTAATAAACCTACATAAAACTCCTTTATTATCGGTTTATTTTCGTGACGGGTATTGTATATACGTTCATAGACGTTGTTATGAGGCTTTGCGCCATTTCCTCATTCCTTGAGTTTTACAAAGTCAAACAAACTGTTTCCGATATAGACAGTAACTACACGAAGAGGAGCGCCATCATCTTTTGTCCAAAAATATCGCGGGGTGCGCGGTGTTTGATCCTATATCATCGTTAGTTGTGAATTGGACATGAATACAGTTGTAAAGGATCTTATTTTAAAGAATAATAAATAATAATTAAAAGGACAAAAAACCCGCCGCCCTTTAAATAATATGCAACATCACACAAAACCTGTAGTCGGGAGGTATGCACAATGCAGGCGTAATTACAGGTGGGCAAAATGCTAGGGGCCCTCAGCTAGGAGCTAGAGGAGAATCCTCCTCACATTTATTAAATACACAATTAGTAAAAAAATTACAGTATCAGATGAATTTGCCACTGGCCTCAAACTGTATAGTTACGCTAAGGGCCCAAAGAGAGACTGATTTGATTTATTATTCAATTTCATGCTTCCGACTACATGTTATATTCAATGTTGCATATTTTTTTATATTTTTCCAGCCTTTCTAGTTAGTTGTTTTTCACAGAGATGGATGTTTTGTTCTTTTAATTACAATTTTATTTATATATTTTTAGTAAGACAAATTACCAGGTTGGTTCAGAAAATTAAAGAATAAAGTCCATATTTTTCTTATTGGAATCCTTGTAGTCTTTTAATTTGATACCCATGTTGTAGTATTTGAAATAATCATTTTTTTTATCATTAAATATAATAGTGTCGTACAGCCGCCATATTTGATTTTTTTAACGTTATCTGTCTAAGAACACTAGGGCTATTAAGACATATCTAACGATACATCAATTATCTAAATCCATTCAGCGGTTCTGAATATATGAGTTAATAAAGAATATTGCATACATACAAGATACGCGCGAAACACATAACCCTTGCTTTGCAGTCGGGTAAAAAGTAACCCGAGAACTGTGCAAGCTTTGGACAGAATAGAGATAGAAGAACAGAGATAGAGATATAGATAAGATCTTCGTGCACTTCGAACTTACCTTTTTCGCCAATCTCAGTCTGATCGCCCCCAGGCAAGACTTCAAAGTCAGGTTTCAAGGCGCAGACGTTAATCACATTGTTGTACCGCTGCTTGTCCAATTCTTTACCGAACAATATGTTATCTTGCAATGTGGCATTCTGGATCCACGCTTGCTGTGGCACATAGGCGATTTCACCTAGAACAAATTCAATTAAATTTAAATAATATATTAACGGTTTATTGAGTACGATTTACATTTAGTTCATACAATTCGATCGAGTATAGTAGCTTTTAGTTTATAAAATTCAGTTTATTTTTGGGCGTAGTAGACATTAAATTTAATTGCACAAATTTGATATTTTGCAGTAACAGGCTGCTTGCTTGCCTTTAACGGGCTGCTATACATACGTACAATAACAATTTAATGTAATTGAAAAGTGTATTGATAAACTAAAAACTATTTCATTAAATATGTATTTTTCTATATTATATGTTTAAATTATATATTTATATATAAGGGGCATTTTCGGCCCTGAAAATTATTTAAATTTCAGGTTAATCGCATGTATGAAATCATTGTATTTAAATATTTCAGAACATGTATTTTGAGTTTTCATTAATGTTTTTATCTTATACGATTAAAAATATTATTTCTTTAAAAGCCCAAAGTTTGCATTTTTGCCAAAATTCACCACTTTTCGAAGGTTTCACCTAATATTTTTGCAATGCTTAAGAGACTCATATAGATGTGGCTTATGCATAACATCGTGTCTGGTAATGTCAGTCACCTGTGGTGTTGATACGGCCGGATACTTTATTCATCTCGCCTAAGAGAGCGGAGAGCAGAGAACTCTTCCCTGAACCCACTGCGCCGACCACAGCTACCAGTGACCCTCGAGGTACATGCAAGTTGATATTCTTCAAAACGGGCTCCGAATCCTTCTCACCCCAAGAGAAATGACCATTCTCGATTACTAGCGGATTTGCTGCAATATATAATTTATCGTAAGCCATTGTTAATCATAATATCAATAGATCGCTACAAAGCATAGCATTCAATAAAAAATATGGTTCGAGTCGAATTATCTTATGTAAATATTAATTTAACTGTTGGAAAGCAAATAGATAAGAGATTTATAGATTCTTTATTTAATAACAGTTTGAAGAGAGATTAGTATGTTAGATTTCAAGTCTGATTATATTCCTGATAGAGTATAAAATATATACTACATTTATATACATTTCTTTATATTCTGTATTCTGGCGCTATTTGTTTACTTCCGATTTTCATGGCACAATGCTCACGAGTCGCCATTCATGATGAATATACATAGATTTAAAAGTAAATATTTCACATTAAGTGAAGTATAACTGATTCACGTTATCAATAAACTCACGCGACCATACTTCGATTGCGTTAGATAACTTATCGAATCAATATCGAATTCATAAGTCTATAACCTTCATAGAATTTGGACAGTATGTCACGGAAACTCAAATAATTCAGTTAATACTAGGTGTATTGACATAATTGAATATTAAAAAAATAGAAATACCTACTTTTAATGTAATGCGCATTGTTTTAAGATTGTAACTTTTTTCTAAGACATAATGACACAAAGCGCATAATGAATATCTAGCTTTTGTTGTGTATAACCTAAAATGTTACACTTTTGGAGAGCTCCTGACATAAAGGGTAACCGAGAGAGAGAGAGGGAGAGAGAAATACAAAATAATAATTATTATGATCATCATTTTTTCTAAGTTATTATTATCTACGTAACTCACGTTCTTTAAGGTCGTGTTCCACAGCATTTTCGTCCAGTTCTTCACAATTCATAAATTTATTCAATCTCTTTATACCAACTGAAGTCTGAAATATGATATACGATAAGATAATCATACATATTTTTAACGATATTAGTTCTGTTTGCACAATCGAAGAAGAGAAACGTCAAACTAGTACAAAAACTAAGTTAATTGACAAATTTATACAAATAAAATAAATCCATCCTTTAATAAATCTAATACACAAAATAGTATATCAGGTTGCTACAAAATGTCTGATTTCTACAATCAAACTGCAAAACTATTTAAATATCAACCTATTAATGTTTAAAATTGGCTGTGGTAAGCCTTTAGAAATAAGTTACTAAAACAAGAGGCCTACTGTTTCTTCGAAAACGAAAATTTGTCTATTTTCAAATCGCTAATATGACTCCAAGAAAACTTTTTTACCATAATTTATGATACAATGAAGGAAACATCTGACTCTACCTCTGATGAATAGATAATCATCATGGATATGATTTTAACAAAACCATAAAAACGATTCGAAATTTTCTGAATTTCCGTTCGTTAATCAACAGAGTAGTCTGTCGACTGTACCATGATTCACATGTATTTTTTAGACCACAATCAAACAGCTCTATTTCTATGACAACAAAGCACATATCTTCGATTGTACGCAACAGAAATATAAATCACCAACCACCCAATATTGTTAGAACAGAAAACCACAAAAGCATTAATAGTAGACAGCGCAATATTAGTCACAATGTACAGAAAAATTAAATGAATGATACGATTTTAATGGTAGCGGGTATGATCTAATAATATGCTGTAGCAAGTACAAGTCAGCATAATGGCACCACTCATAGTGAAAAATTAATAAACTTTCAATGATACTAAATATAACATTAAAGTATGAATTTAAAGTTAAAAGGTGAAGTTTGATGTCAATTTTTATTAACGCAAACTCATACTTATCTACAAAGACTAGTAAAAAAACAAAGCGTTCATGTTTGTTTTCTTGGGAAGCTCGAGGACTACACGACACAAATTAATGTAATTCTTAATAAACAAACTTACTTGTACTACGTTCGATATAACATTAGGCAGCATTGAGAGTGGGAAACGTAGTATGTTGAAAAGAGACAACGCTACGAAAGCCGTCTTAGCGTCCAACACTTTTGTATCGTTTACCAATACAAAGCATCCGAATGACATCAGGGACACCTAAGAGAGGAGTCCAGCATAATATTACTTGCCTATATAATAATAGTTTTCATGCATTAATGAGTTTTTGAGTGTTCGTAGTATTATTTGATAATGTAACTTGGGTTAACGATAAGTCATACTAATGCTGGTACACAAAATAGAAAGCGTGATAAAGAGTGAATGCAGCAACCTACATTATTGGATAACTAACGATATACGGTCAAATATGACAATTACGTACGACGCTTTTAATTGACAAAATATTTTTACATATTTCAGAATTTCAATCGATTATGTAAAATAAAGAAATTGTTGTGCAAAACCATTAAACGATATCTCACTTAAAGAAACCTTTGTATCCTAAATAAAGAAATTAAAACGAAAGCAAATTCGAATTGTTTATTTGTTGGACTAATTTAATCTTTTTAAACTACACAATAGTGTTGATTTTAGTAATTTCTCTCACGAGAGCAGGCTAGAAACATTGATAATCTTATCATAAAGATAGCGGGCATTATTTGCAGCGTTTCTTGCTTGTTGGTAAACGTAAGTACACATCTCGGTATATTTGTTTCAATTAAATATTTAATCAAATGAACTAACACTAAACGCGTATCGCGCTGATGGGGGACAAGTAGCTACAGTCGAATATGAGCGCAATCAATACTAAATACCTGCGTAAATACACGCGGGTGCTACACAATTCGGTTACTGTTACAGAACATTATCAAGTCCACACAACGAACACTCAATAGTCTCGATTGTCGTCTCGTATAACGCAATGAATTTATGCTTGTTAGTGTGAAGTGCAAGAGAACCATAGCCTCTGAAAAGTAGAGGACACATTGGTAGCGCTACCTCTATCGCCGAGACCACGATGATAGGGAGCAAACCTAACGGCAAATGCATTGTGTAAAACAAGGACATCGACACGAAAATATTTGTCGCAGTCAGGATATTCTTTTCTGGGTCAGATATCACAAACGTGAAGAACGTTAGAAATGTGACCTTAAAAAGAACAATTCAAATCATTACACATAATTAAAGGTGTTACTTATTTTTTTACTCATAAATTAGTATTCACATGGATTATCGATCATAAATTTATATTTATTGATATACTCGAGTGTCTGATAATAATAGAAAACGACACACATCCCGGTAATCTTTGATCAATATTGACATTTATAATCATCTATTACTGAAGCTATCTATTAATTCTAATTTATTTATTACTTGGAAACACATGTCAATGATTGATTGTCTATATTGATAAATCTGTGCGCCAATACTTAAACAAAAATAAAAATCAATTATCATTTGATATGACGGTTATCAAATAATGACAATAAAGAGTTGTATTAATTTGTTGTACGCTGATAAAATTATCGATATAAATACGTGTTTCAATAGAAATGATTGTGTAAGATTATATTTTATTGTTGTAACAGATTTATTGGCCAACTTTATGACGTTATAGCTACCTGCAAAGTTAAAACAACATTAACAATATAAATTATTTTAAATTAATTACAATTTTAATTGAATTGAAAGCGAAATAATGCATTGAATTAATTATCATAAAAATTATTAAATATGACAAAAATAAAAGATCTTAAATTGTAAATTTACGATTGTAAATTATGAAGTTACTTTTAAAGTATCGTAATATTTCAATTTATCATAATACATATTTATTATCATCAAATCTAATAAAACTGTTTAAATTCACTATATAGGTCAATGTGAGGAACCACATTAATACAATAGAAGTATACAATTCATATCAAGAACGTTTACACGTTGATAAGGGAATCGTGTATTTATATCTGAGTGGGTCAATATGATTGAATACTTAACCATTGATCCATAATATATTTTTTGCAATCTGATAAAATTTATTACAGTCATTGTTTTAATATTACGTAAAATATTAGATTAAGTAAAACAAAAAATAGGCTGTACATAACGTACACTAATTGAATTGAACTTACCAAGAAAGGTGCACAGGACCAAATAAATGAAGTGGCCGAATTGAGGTAAGCTGTTTGCTTTAAGACATGCATTTCTTTATTTCTTATCTTCAGAACTTGATCTTCAAAACTAGGCTCCCATGCGTACATTTTAAGAACCTGGAATTGATGATTCGGAATATAACAGTTGTGTAAATAAATGGATAATACGGGGAAATTATTAAGTATAAAGGAGCATCATAATTAGCTTATTAATGTGCCCACTGCTGGAGCAAAGGCCTTCACTATGGATGGTAGTAAGTAGATAGAATGGGCCACCACGCTAACCCAGTTGAGATAGGTGGCTGTTAACGTCTGTAGTGCAGCCGAGATGAAAGGCTTTACATGGCTTCCGATACAAGGAGGAGCTAGAGGTAACAAATTTTTGGTCACTCATCCTATAGCGGGCTCTTACGAAAGTTGCATATCTTTCCCATCACTGAAAGAACACGCTGAGCGCTGCACCGTCCAGCTGCTCATTAAATCAGTTTGTGTAATCAAAGCGCTTATTGCAATTGATTCAATTAAATAACTGAATTTTCTAAACCATACATGAATGATTTCATTCCCTTAAATTTACAAACAAATACATACATACAGGTCAAATTGAAAACCTCTATTTTGAAGTTGGTTTAAAATAAGAAATTAAAAATTTGTTAGTGATTAGGTTAAACTTGAATAACCTTTAGTGCATTTTTTATATGTACATAGATTATACATTATGCTTTATTACTGTCATAAAACGTATGTATCTGCGCGGATATTGCACTTGTGCACCGATTTTAAAGATTTTTAACAAAGCGACATTCATATGACGATAGCTGACTCATGCTAAGTAATAAAATAATCATAAATATTAAGATGTTCCCACATACAATTATAAGCAGATTACATAAAATTTAAGCATAACACGCATTCACAAGGTATGTAAACAATAAATTAATCATCTTCCAAGGTCACAACTTCAATTCAGTCTTACTCACGAATTAATCGCTTCATAGTAACATAATTTTAAATTGAATTCAGTAATCTAATAAATACTTCACTGATTGTGCATTGTAAGTAAAATTTAAAAAGATAACAATTGAACAGGCTTTACAATAGGGCATTCAATAAATGGTGCAGTAGACAGAATTATGCAATCTAGAATACACCAGGATGCTACTCTTTCATACAAGAGCAATGCACCATAGTTAAGTAGTAGTATTGTCACAGTATTATGAATGAGAAGTTTTTGTTAAAATAAACTATTATCTTGGAATAAACAGCACTAATATATAGATAGATACCTTAAGTAATGTTACCTCATTTATAATCTCTTTCAGATTGTATACAAAATTGAAATTTCTCGTGTGGCAAGAGTGTTCATATTTCTTTGGACACCACTCATTCGAAGCCGGTTTTCAATGGCTACCACCATTTTAATATGTATGTTACTATTCCGCGATATTATAGGCGTCCAAAGTGCTTGTTTAAATAAATAATTTCGCCTCGAAAGTGTTTTGTTCATGGAAACCGAAGCTTTAACTCAATTGTATTATATTTTTCACCATAATACAATAAATGGTGTTATTATCTTAAAACTTTAATTATACCACATTTGTAAGCGTGGAAAATTATAAATACCTACATTGCAGCTTTTTTATGCTACAAACCCATCAAAAACACGGAACTGTTTTGAGATTTTCCTCATAAGAATAAATACACGTATGCAGAGGTCAAAGAACGCTATAAGCATAGATAAGATATATGCGTTACCTTAATTCCATTAAGTACTTCGTTCATAAGTTTAACCCTTTCGTCTTTATATTTCATTTGTTTGATCTGCAGTGTTTTAACTCTGTTAGCGATGAGACCGTTGACGGGAATGAGTATTATCATGACAGCAAGGCCGGCGAGTACGGATGGGCCTAAAATGCCCCACAGAAAGTAGAGAGCCAAAGCTATTTGGAGCGGTGCCGACCATATCATGTTCAAATATGCCGTCAATTCGAGAAATCTGTGAAAAACGTTGAGTTCTAACACAAAAGAATAAAAAAATAAAATATCAGAATCTTGTTGCAGTATTTTATTAACATGTCCTCCCTTAACATGAACGATGAAGAATTCGTCTACAAACTATTTATCGGGTAAATTGACCTAATGTTGTAATAATATAATATTGTTTTAATCATAGAGACTTAATATAATGATTTCTATTGACAATTGGGATTTATTTTATAACAAAATCATACGGCTTACTTCAGATAATAAAATTTTATATCGGCGATAACGATACGAGATGGAAATAAAAAATCTGTATCTTAAGATGATGACACATAATACGATAGAAGGTCATTCAAGTCCACAAAACAGGTTATTTTACCTATAATACCTTTATTTGAATACCATTCCCTCGTATTTACTACAGATACAAAAAGACAGACATCAAATTGAATATATTAATATAATACTCAGCGTAACAAATATCAAAGTCGATATTGGAACAACGTCCTCTTTATTCACTATTTAACCATGTGATGAAGGGAGCGAAGCGGCAATTAAAATGGATCATTATTCTAATTGACCAGGTTAAAAGCTCTGTACTTATACAGCGTGTAAAGTTAAAATCGTACAGTTGATTTTAGGATAGTTTCAGCACATAATAACCATGGCGAAATTGAGTTATATATATCAAAGAAATTCTATTTAGTCCGTATTTATATTTTCACACGCACTAACGATAAATAAAACAACTTATCCTATTAATATTATAAAGGCGAAAGTTTGTAAGTATGGATGTATGGATGTTTGTTACTCTTTCACGAAAAAACTACTGGACGGATTTGGATAAAACTTTACAGCAATATAGGTTATACATCAGAATAACACATAGGGTACTTTTTACTGGGAAAACTTCTCACTCCCACGGGATACCGACTTCCACGCGGACGAAGTCGCGGGCGTCCACTAGTATAAAAATATATGGAAGTATAAATTTTAAAAGCAAAGCTTACCTTTGTGCATCCACTGACATCAAGTTGACGATTTCACCGACCGTGGATTCCTTTCTAGCTGCGTTTGACATACGCAGGGATTTCCTATAGATGGCGCTTGTGAGAGCGGTCCTTATTCTCATGCCCACTAAGTACATTCTAGTGAAATAATGCGCCAACAGCATGGTCTGAACAGTAGCACAGGCCAACAAAGCGACTGCGTACAAGTGCCCTTTCCATAAAGGCTCTTTGCTTTGTACAAAATTTATAAGAAGTCTAAGGAAGAAAAAAAATTTAGTTCACACAGATGATAAAGTATTTTTTATAAAATAGTTAAAAAAATATTTTAGATCAGTAATGCAATATCTCGGTTTTTAGTTTTTAAGTTTTCAAAAAATATTTTTATTTGCTATATAGGTATATTCTGCTTCAAAAATAATATAACGAAGATAAAAAAACTGATGAAAATTTCGAGCAAAAAGGACAAAAATGTGATATTGAAAAAATAGTTTTGGGTGCACTTTTAAATTTCCGAACTTTTCTTTTACTATAATTCGGCACTGTGGCACGAAGACGTAGGACCACGTCCCACACATCTTACGGCGCCTCTGACATGAAAGACACGAAATAACTGAATTCACATGTGCATTGTTCATACTTACTTTAGAAGCTGCGGCGAAAGAAACATCAAGGTGTCATTAAACAGTTTCAGGAGAGCACCGAACAAGAATTGCCCCCCGAACGCGAGGCATAACGCCGGTAATATAGAGGCGGGCTTCCGCTCATTTTCCGGCTTGAAGTTAACACTGGCTGAAGTTTTGCTGTAAGTCGCTTTAGCACCACTGGAACTAGATTATACTGTGTCACTCTCAGTGCCATCGTTACATATTTGAGCAGTGTTCTGTTCTCAATTTTTTTTTCTATTTATGCATATGAATTCTGTGCAAGTGGTAGCAACGTCTTTAAGGAAGAATTGTCAAAATATAACTAAGTATAGGGAATGGTAATTTTGATATTTATGGTCTTACAATTTAATGTTTTTTTTTTTTGTTTAATATGTAAACAATTCCTGAAATACGAAAACAACGTTTTGTGACGTTGCTATCTCGCTTACAACATTGTCAGAAACGAAAGCTAAAATAATTAATGGAGGAATAATCAAAGGGGCCGTCCATAAATTTCTATACAAATTCTACTAAATATTGTTCTAATGTCACAGTTCGTTGACCCCCCCCCCTCCTAAAATGTGACGTAATTTATGGATGGCCCCAAATTAAGAAGTATGTAGACATGCAAATGCTTTTTTGTGTATGTGGAAATTTATATTGGTTTTAAAGAGTTGTCAACAGAATTAAGTGAATTATGTAAAATATATTATTATAGAATAATTATAGGACTTTCGTATCGTGTATAAACAAATGCCTCAAACAACAAATAAACATAATAAAAAAATATCTTATTTTCGTATATAAGAGATTCAATGATAATTATGGTGCCACATTTTGAGATAGAAACATTGAATACGACCTATCACTATCTCTTATACCTTTGAACATTGTTACTTTTAAGTGAATACTGTATTATCATGATGACAAAGCACTTTTTTGTACGTATAACTCTAAAACGCTTCACTTGCGATCGAGAAAAGTTGTTATTATATGAACAAATATGAAACTTGTTGCCCTGAAAATAATACTGGGTAGAGTAGATGAGTATTTTCTAACAGAAATTTATAAAATAACAATGTAAAAAGTTTCTATTGAAAAGGTACATGACCTCTTTTAATATTATGTTTGATGGTGTAAAACGGCGTTTGTTAATTATTTATGTCACCAGCAGGTAGACCAAAAATTAAATATCGAAAATAACTGAACTATCTCCAATTGATAAATGATATTTAAATCTTAATGTGTTATGTCTGTCCCATTGTATTTATCTAGTGTGTATGTTATCTAAGATATTGATAATCGTGATTGTGTAAGAACACTTACTTTGCTCGTTTTTTGAGTGATCTCTCCCAAAATTTGTCGAATCTAGGCACTACTTCTTTAGAGGAATCCTGAGGGTTCAGGGCCCAAAGGTCATTTTCGGTCAAGTCACGTCGAAAGCCCGTTAAAGCGAGAGGGTCGAACCAACTGAACGTTAGCCTGCTAGGAAATCCCGACGCATTCTCTGGGCATTGGTTCTAAAAAATGTAATAAACATTCCACTCGTACGAATTAACATGACATCAAAAGGCATATTATATTTCTCCGAAAAGAAAATTTGACAAAATATAGAAATATGACTCCAAAGAAAAGCATTTTCCCATAATTTATGATGCAACGGAGGTAGGACCTGATACTACTACAAAATTATAACAATGATTCGAAATTTCCGAATTTTCGTTAGAGGACAAATTAGCTAGGCTCTTAGGTTTCATGTTAATTGGTACGAGTTATAAGCTTATAAAATCTAAAGATTATCTACATTATAAACTAAGTTGTGGTCTTGCACGTTTATTGATCAAACTTGTTCTGGGAGCTGAATTTCTAAACTTTCTTAATAGTATTTTTTATAAGCAGATTTGAATCGTAATTTAAGCAAAATGTAGTTAGATAAATAATTTTACGAATGCTGAGCTAACTTATAAACCTAATTACAATTTATTTTTTGTAATGTATATGCTGTTTGTCGTCGATATAAATAAATAAGTTAAGTAGACATATTTCTAAACTTGTGATACAATTTATATATGAACAAGCGACTTATTCCGGTTTTGAATGGGTAATAAACCTTCCTCAAGAAAAAACTATGCGACAGTGAAAAACGCATCAAAATCCGTCGCTGATTTACGAGCAGTTAAAAGTTTAAGACACAAGGAATAATAAGTAGACAGCGTAATTTATACAATGTAGTAAGTTATTTTATTACCGTCGTTAAAACTAGGCGACTTAATGGCCACTGAATTTAGGATTACCGAACAATTGTAGGCAATTTATGAATCTACCGGATATTTATTCAACGAAACGCACTCCTGAAAATTTTTAAAGCGTAATGAGATACGCGCAACTATTTGGGCTTTCTAAGAATCGATTCATATCGCTACGACGACGTCGAGGAAGCCAAGCGGAACCCAAACTAAAGAATTTTTATTGATTTGACAATGACCTATAAAGCGTGAATAACATAATAACGATAAAGAACGGTTAAAAAGTGTGTGGAGGGTAACAGTATATGACTTAATTGCATACTACCCTCTTGTAATTGTAATATGGTAATGATTGAATTTTTTTATAAGATGATTCGGATAAAAATGGGGTAAACATATCAAGGTTGGTTGACGAATAATACAAGTTCATGATATTGTAAATAAAGTCAATGTTGTCGCCTAGCAACATTTGCTTCGTGTATGATAATGACTTTCTGTAATGAATCTTAGCACAACCAAAGATTATTGAGTATATATATGTTTATTTTGTATGTGGGTATTTCACTATGCCCTAGCAGCTGTAAAGAGTTAATTAATAATTACTAACTGTTTAAAACAAAGTCGATTGATCTATCCCTATAAATCTATGTATGCTTAAATTTTTAAAACTACGCAACGGATTTTGATGCGGTTTTTTTTCATAGATAGGGTGATTCAAAAGGAAGGTTTTTAATGTATAATACAAGACCACGCGGTCGAAGCCGCTGGCGGAAAGCTTGTCTGTTAAAAAAACAAAAAATAAAGAATCAATTACCTTTTCGTACTTATAAGGCGTGTCTTTAGGCGGCAAATCGGCGAAACAATTCAATATAAACATTAAAGCGATCAATGGATAATAAACCATATAACTAACGAAATTATATTGGACATTCTCGTCATCCGCTTTCTCATAATGTTGGACTATTTCAGTTCTGAGTTGCGGTAGTCCTGCCAGAATTAAAAGTAACCAAAAGAAGAACAGCACCCCTGATGCCCTCATGCCATATTTTCTATTGTAATAAAGTAACGTTGCTGATAAACCCTGCAAATCATAAGAAACATTAGAATTTTGTTACACTTATATATTATTTTTAATCATATATTAAGGTTAGATACTGTTAATTTGTGTGAGGAAGTAGGCGGATTGAATAAATAAGTTGTTTCATTATAACACAGTATATCTTATACGACCTTATAAGGAAATGAGATACAATTTTCTTCACAATATTATAATGTCGAATCGAGTTGAAGGTCAAAACATCAAAAAGATCCGTTTGTTGTACCGTAATGAGCGTAAGTTACTAAGTTTTTGTCAAATTTGGTGATGTAATAATTTTATGTTTTTGTTGTTACGCTACTAACCGCCGGTCAACAGTAATTTTCTACTGTGAACAAGATTATCAAGGTCATAACATAACACAATATCTGAATAATTATATCCCTTTATAAAGTTCCAAGAATTTGGTTCGTGTTTTATTTATGTCAAGTCTATTGAATGTGGTCTCTTTCGTTCATTGTACTTATAATATAACCCATAAAACCTTTAGGATTAGCGTTGGACTAGGGCTGCCAGGATAATTTTCAGGGATGTCAAATGTTGAAATATTTATGCAATATCCTAAACAGCTATATCTACCTTAGCACATTTACATATAAGGACAATATTTTTCCAAAAATAAACCAAGCGTCAAAAAAGGCTTAATATAATTCTGTATATATGTACCTACTTTACCGGTTAGGTGTGTTGTGAAGGTTACTAATATTAATCAGCCGACTTTAATAAAGTTTCTTGAATTATATTTCACTTTTTTTAAGCTATTTTAAAGTATGTTTTATTACTTGAAAAAAAATTTTTTTTTTTGTTCGCTTCTTTTTCAAAGTTGGATAATATCTTTAATAGTTTATTCATTTTATTTAACTCTATTGAATAACAACAAAAAAGGTTAGAAGATATGCATTATAGCTTTATAGGTGATGCACAACAGGCGGATTTTATCGCTTATTGTGATGAAATAATTCCTTAAATTGAAATCTAATTAATCAAACAAAAAATTTGCTAACCAATGTCTAATTTGCGAGATATATTTGAATAAACAAGGCACAGAATAGACAAAAACAAATACCTACATGCACTTCATTATAGACACACGTGTTATAGACGTATGCAATTTACTTGAAATTTTCGTTTTATTTTAATATTTAAGTCGTTTAATTGTTATTCAAAGGGTTGTTACATGGGACTTTATCTTTTATAAATATTTTAAATGCAATATGTTATAAGTCTAACTACATAAAAAATCTTCCATGAAGCTAATATATACGCTTCCATGAAGGTAAGTGGTAACTATTAAACTAGGTGTCAAAGACACTAGTGTCTCGATTATTTACATCTATATTGTTTTTTAAACTTCTATAATATCCACCCACAAAAGGATATCTCTATCATATCATACCCTCTCTCTCTCTCTCATTGGGTCCGGAGATGTATTATGGATACGAAATTAGTTTCTAAGTCATTGTAATTGATACTAACATTAGATTTATGTAGGTTTTATGTAAAACTAACAAAAAAAAACAATTGATCTCTGATTATTGTCCGAAATGAAAATTATTATAAATACTGCCGGTATTTCGTAATGATGACGTTTGAAACGGTGGCGAAAGAACGCGGATTCATTAAGAACAAGGGAAATGGTAAAAATCGAGTCAAAAATTCTGGAATAATAACGGACATTTAATTTTATATGCCGGAAAGTAAAGTTAGCTCCTTGAACTGCAAATCTGAAATTATCATACGATTACTGATTGTGGTGTTGCGCAAGCGCATGTAATAGGTATGTCGCCCCTGTGCGATTAGATATCAATATACGACTTACTCAGCCTTCCCAAAAAGGGAATTTCATTTTTAGAAAAAAAAACGACCTTTTTTAATTTATGGTTTAGAGTAGTCTACTCATCAGGGAATTCTTATACAAATTGTTTGAATAAAAACCCTTATCTGGAATTTATTTTTTAACAAAGTGAACATGTTTGGCTGAATATTTTTTTTTTATATACCTATATTGGTATTGAATAAACATAACAGACATCTCAGATAAATACTTAAATTTAAGTTAAGCTAATGAACCACAAAACCTGGACTTAAGACATAAAAATTGTATCTGATAGTTCAGAGGCAGTGAGAAAGGACACCATGAAACAAGTGTGAGATATCATTATTAAAAGAATCAATATTTATTTGTATAATAAAAAGTTCTCTCTAACAAATTATTATGAGTTATAATTTTTTTCGAGTAGCTCGGTGGCGTAGTGGATAAGCGCCGCGTCATGCGATCGTTGTTGTTAAGCATCTTTCGCAAGGGCAGGTCATGGGATAGGTGACCAAAAAAAATATTATCTCGTGCTACTCCACATTACGTGGAGGGAAGGCACGTTAAGCCGTTGCTCCCGGCTGAATATGCGGTCGTTAATACCCTTCAATCCACAATGGGACGACATGGAGGGTCATGGCCCATTCTCCTTAACTTACCATAAGGAAAGCCTGAGCCCCTTTGTGGGGATGTAACAGGGCTGATGATGATATAATTTTTGCTATTATATTTATTTTTTAAATAACTTTTTGTTACATATTTAATTTTAACACCCTTTCATCAGGGGGATGTTTATTGGGAAAAAATATTTTTACCAGTAAGCCCAGATTTTTTTTCTTTTCTGTTAGCCAAGTAGAAACACTTTGTCTATCTCTATTTGCAATTTTGCAGTACTAAGTATATTGATATTTGTCATGAAGAAAAATACTTAAAAATTTGAAGAGTTCCCAGTCAGCCAGAGTAGGATAAAATTGTCATTAGTTTATGATGACATTATCCATACAAATATGACATTAATATGAGCTTAAAGATATCATTAAATGTTAATGGATGTTTGTGCAACTGACTGTTAAGGTTTTAAACATATAAAATAAACATTTATATTGCTTTTAAACTTATATCACAGTCTAATATTGGTTAGTTTGGTAATGAAATCAAGGATAATATTATATTTGGAATATCAATTTCAAGATGAACTTAATATTCCAACTTCATGCAGGTTATATTATGCATACCAATCAGCATAAATATTTTCATTGATAAAGCTACAAGGAAAAATATGTAGCTCACTTTTAGTAATACACAGTAAAAAAGGTGTGTTGATGAAAACTGTTGGTGTCTGTATGGAAAGACACAATCCTTTCTTATATTTCTACAATTTGTTCTTTTTTTACCTCTTATTATGTTATTGTTGTTCCCCATGCAAGCAGTGATTTGTAATTTAAACATATAACACAATAATAACTTTTTATACTATAAAGCTTTTAAATTTATTCTAAAACTTATGGAAAAAATTGATATAAACCATTTTCCACTTTCTATTATATCTCTAAATTACCTAAAACTGGGTTATAATCTTCAAATATTATTTTTATTACTAATCACTCTGCATATTACTAGTAGTAGTACAAAGAAAAATGTGTATACTTACAAAAGTTAATATTTTTATAATGGGACTATAATAATCTGCATTAGACACAACCTTGTCTTTCTGGGAGGAATTATGTACTGTTACACCTAAATCCACAAATTTAACCACTATTAAGAGACAGTTGACAACTAATTTGGTAATATTCAACATATTCCATGGTATATTTTTCTCTTTGCTGTGCAATATGTAGTAGAGGTCGAGAAAGGCTGCCACCCAAAGGTAAATGCATGGTATCCAAACAAGAACTGTTTTCTGAACACATGGCGTTAGTTCTGGATTCTCTGTGTTCCATGTTAAGTTACTGACCTAAAATAATAATTAAATATTTAAAATTTTAATAGTATGATTATAAAACTTAATATTTTTGTGGTATTACTCTCATATTTCATTTTGAATATTAATAACATAGAGTTTTTTTGATAAAAACATATTATTTTATATGTAATATCAGATATTTTAACTTAAATGCAAGATCAGCAAAACAAACAGATTAATATGAAAAATCCTCTCTTAATATTTGATTCTCAAAATATTTATTTCAATGAGTTTTTTTTTATAAATAAAGTTATGAGGATGACTTTAGCAAGTTTTATAAAGTTAACAGATTTCAGTGGGTATCAACAAGTTGTACCCACTTCAAGAATATTATTTGGTGGACCATACCGTGTGGAAAACAGGTTTTATTCACAAAGATGATGTTGCTATTATGTCAAAGGTTTAAGGTCATGGTCATAGTAAGTTTAGGATACTTAAAAAACACATTTGATTAAAAAGCAGGCAAACTATATCCTGTATTAACCTGTGTTGTATCCTCTTGCATAAACAATCTTTGGTATGCAACATTTTAAAACAAAACACTAATAATTTTATTAAAAAATTACAAAAAGTTTGCTTGTTACTAAAACTGGGTAAAAATATTAAACGGTTAAAATTGTTTTAGAAACTATTATTGTCTCTGATAATATTGAAGTAATATCTTTTCAAAATTTACCTAGTTTATTTAAATTTCTCAACTTACCCAAAATTTGGATCCACAAAAATCATCAAGAGAAGAATTGTAAGACATAGTCGCTATTCGTGAAGGAGACACGAACGTCGACTAATTCGAAGTTACACACGGTAGTTATGTTTTTTTGTAACAATATCTAAAATACGTACGCCCTGCCACAGTGAAGCAAATATATAATAGTTCGTAAACGAAGATGTGATCACTAATTTACGAAAGTGTTTAAGAATGGATTTAAAGGAATAAATTTATTCGCCACGATAAAATAACCACATCACATCACATCACACCCACCCTCTCGCTCCGCTTCAAAGAGAATGTATACTAGTGTTGCTATTCGATAGTCTACTATCGAGAGCTAATGTAAATAAAATACTGTGTCAACTGATAATGAGGATAAGGAATGGGTAAAAAAGAATTCTGTCAGATAATAGAAGAAGTTTAAATACATATTTTTTTTACTTCAATGAGGAAGTATTTAACAAAAAACGAAAGCACGAAAAAAGCACCTCCACTAGATGGCGGCTCTAGCAAAAATTGATTTTTGCAGGAAACTAATCGACCTAAGTCAGTCATTGCCGTTCCTTTTAACTGACATATTTAAAAACTGAAATTTGAATAGTTCGAAACTTAAATATCAATTCAAATACGAAAAAGTACAAATAAAATATGAGTCGTTTATTGAGTTTTGAAAACTATTTTACTTTAAAACATGAAAGAAAACCGAAAGGGTTTCTTGCCGGTTCTTCTCAGTATAATCCCACCGTAGTTTGGTATAGTTTTCGACTTTGACATGTATTATGTCATAGCCTAGACTGAATTGATTTTTATATTGATATCATTCGACGTTTGCATGCACTAATAAATTACTTAAACTACGATTCAAATAAATTAAACAACTAAGTAAGTTAGTTTTATTGTTATTAGTTGTTTGTTGAACTTACAATGTGATGAATGAATGAATAGGGTTTATTAATCAGCAACAAAAATCATAAAAATGATAATTATAATAAAAAATCCATTTATTATCTATATACTTACCCAATATGTATCAAATATGTATTCGTACAAAATAACATGACTTCTGCCTTAAATGACGTGTGTGCAAAGTGTAACGTGCAAATAACTTGTGCTTTCGAAATTAAGACTTTAAAAAACTATGATCAGTTATTAAATCTTATATTCCTAATTAAATCATCCTAATAAACATTTAGCAATCAATAAGAAACGTCTGTTCTAAACGAACAGCAGGGTTATAACTTTAAATTTCAAAATCACAAAGACACGTACAGTTATTATACTATTGCTACTGATCTTTTATTATTTATATTATTATCTTGCATGTCGACGGCGGCCGTTGAGCCATGTGTTAATTCGTACAGTGGGTATATGCTTTTTAGTTCTTAAAATAATATTGTTAATAATAAATTGACTTCCTACACAACCTACTCTAGAAATCAGTTTTATTGAAATATATTATTTACTAAGTACCTAGAGTAGTCATGCTCTCTTAAAATCTCTGCGGTGGTTTCGTGTGCGTTAGGTCGATACGTTCCCTCAAATATAGTATAGTTGAGTTGTATAGTTGAAATCAAAAAAGTAGCCCTTACTGAGTTTCTTACCGATTCTTTTCAGTACAAGATCTCCCGCCTTAGTTTTTCGAACCATTGGCAAAGTTTTCGACTTTCACAAGTACTACGTAACAGCTTAGACTGAATGGATTTTGATATTCATATTAATATCATTCGTTTTTTGGATGCATAATGACACATACAAATACAAGCTGAATTCTGCGCTCTGCTTTTTTCTTTAAATTAATTTCATTCTTCATGAATTCGGATGAATTACGAGCAACCAATAAGTTGGCTCGTCACTAATGTTGACGTATCAATCAAACATCGTTCCTTTACACGTAACATAATAAACAACTTAAACTTACGATTAAAATAAATTAAAATTAATTTGAAAGTTAAATATTATAAGAAACACAAAACTATGTCATATTTATTAATTTTCGATACTCAATTTATTTTTATTACGTCAGGAACAAAATTTGAATGAATATCATAAACAAAATCCAAACATCGCGAGTGACATCTAGTATGATTTCAAGAACTAATTTTTATTTTTTAAATACTTCTTAAATATTGACATTTGGCAATCTGTTCTGCACATGCGCGTCTATTGTTATTATATAAAGTCATTCTTCCTAAAGCCATTGTCGATACTGGTTTTATTTTACAAATTATATTTTTTTTTGGTATATTTAAATAAACGTATGTGACCTAAAAGCTCCCTGGTCTTTCTTTATACCCTTTTTACCATCGGGTATCAGACTCACCTCCACTGGCAGCACCCGTTGACGAGCTTGACGCATAAGCCAGCAATCGCTTCACTCAACTATATTTGAAGGAACATAACGATCTGACGCACACGACACCGCCATAGAGATTTTTAAGAGAGCACAATTACTCTAGGTGCTTAATAAGTAATATATTTCAATTCAACTTATTTCTAGAATAGGTCGAGTAGAAAGTCAATCTATTATTATTGACAATATTATTGTAAGAACCAAAAAAGCACATACCTTCCGTACGAATTAACATAACACCGGGCTCAACGTCCGCCGTCGACATGCAAGTTCAGTAGCGATGGTATAATAACTGTACGCGTCTTTGTGATTTTGAAATTTAAAGATATAACCTTGCTGTTCGTTTCGAACGGACGTTTTATTGTTGATTGGATAATTTTTATTAAGATGATTTAATTATGAATATAAATTATTATCATAGTTTTTTTTTTATCATTTCACAAACGTCATTCTAGCCAGAAGTAATTTTATTTGTACGAATATCTAGTATATTTGATATATATCAGGTAGTATATGGATAATAAACAGATTTTTTACTATAATTATGGTTTTTATGATATTTTTTGCTGATAAATAAACCCTAATCATTCATTCATCACACATTAAATAAACATATTATTGAGACGATGTAGTATTGTTGTTGTAAGTTCAACAAACAACTAATAGCAACAAAACTAACTTACCTAGTTTTATTGTTTTCAGAGCTTTTGTTAAATATTATAATAAAAAAATCCTAGACCTACTATGGCATAAGTATTTTATTTATATAATTATTGCTGGGTAATATAATTAGTGGCTTAAATATGTATTCCGAACTTTACGTGTGAAGGGCAAATCCAATCACCACAATATGTTCGCTAACGTGTAGAGCCGGCATATGGCGTTTTGTCCACGAAAGTAGTCCATAGAGTTATTTCTGCTCTATGGTAAATAAATTGAAGTTTGGTTGTGGTTGTGATGGCGTTATTATTTCGTAAACTGACATAGTAATATTTGAAACTGTGATTGTATTGCTATAAGGTGGTTGTATATTTGAATATTAAAGAAGTAGTTATTATTACCAGTTATAAAAATATTACTTAGTGGCAATAACAGCTCACCGATAAACTCTTATTTTTATAGGTTACTTTTACATCAGTCAGTATGGCAGAATATTTAGCGGCTATATTTGGTACTGAAAAAGATAAGTAAGTATACATTTATGATTATTTGGTATCTATGCTTTTATACTGTTTTACATATTATCTAGCATTCATTGAGTAATAAAATAAGTCGGGAAGATGTATTATGCACCTACTGGATTTACTTACCATGATTATGAATTTTCAGGGTAAATTGCTCCTTTTACTTTAAAATTGGAGCATGTCGTCACGGTGACCGTTGTTCACGTATACACAACAAGCCTACGTTTTCTCAAACTGTATTGTTGCAAAACTTATATGTGAACCCTCAGAATTCTGCAAAATCTGCTGATGGTAGTCACTGTAAGTTGTCAAGTGTTCTTAAATCTTAATTAGGATATGTAATGGTGTCTTAAAAATGTTAATGGGACTATACAAACAGCTTATTATTTTAATATATCAACTTTAAAATGTTTAGTACAGCCAAATTTAGATTATCAACAGAGATTTTCATTGTTATTATCATTTCATAAATATATTTCTTAGATAGTTCAAAGGTTTAAAATTAATGGACAATTAGTTTTTATAAATGTTAATATCTGTTTTCAGTGGTCGTGGCTAATGTGTCTGATGAAGAAATGCAAGAACATTATGATAATTTTTTTGAAGATGTCTTTGTTGAATGTGAAGATAAATATGGGGAGATAGAAGAAATGAATGTTTGTGATAATCTTGGTGATCATTTAGTAGGCAATGTGTACATTAAGGTGAGTATATGAATCATTGTCAGTTAGTTACCAAGAGAAATTAAAATTCCAGTTATTAATGGCAACTATAAAACTTTTTACCCAGTTGCACAAAAATTCTTTAAAGTATGATTATTAATTCAAGCTCTAATGTATGAAATAAATTTGGTATTGTCTTGGCAATGTGTAATATATATATGACAATTTTATGCTACTGGGCATAAAACATGTAACTTAGACAAGTCTGATGAGAATAGAAGTAAGCAGTGTAGATTATTTAAAACAGTGTCAAAGGTGGAAAAAATCACTTGGAAAAAATTAATTCACATAGTAAAAGTGTGCAATAGTTTCATAAAACCAGGACTATTTTCTCACATTTATACTATTTGCAGTTTTTCACTTAACATTATTTTAAATAAAAACTTTCAGTTCCGTCGTGAAGAAGATGCAGAGAAAGCTGTGAATGACTTGAATAACCGTTGGTTTGGTGGTCGGCCAGTGTATGCAGAGTTATCACCGGTGACGGATTTTCGTGAGGCATGTTGCAGACAGTATGAAATGGGCGAGTGCACCAGGAGTGGCTTCTGCAATTTCATGCATCTCAAACCCATTTCTAGAGAGCTTCGGAGGTCTGTATTGTGTTCTTTATTAATATATTATTTATTTCATCAACTATAAGTTACTGCAAATCTGAAAATATTTTTAATATGGAATTGCTGGCACTTGAGCATATTGGCATGTGTTTGTATCCAGTGTCAGTAGTGTCACATGTACTTGAGTAGGTTCATAAATTGGTAAACATTCTTTAAATCAATTATCATTTTGGTAATTCATGTATGGTATCTCATATTTATTAATCCTCATTTATTAATGAACTCTAAGGTGTAATAACCAGTGGTCGGAATTAGGTAGAGTTATTCATGTACTTACACTGATTTCATACAGCGAAAGAATAAAGTGGATATGCCTCAAATCTCCAGATTAATTTTAAAGAGCAGAAAAAATCCCGTGATTTTTTAAATAAAAAGTTATTTACTTTTACACAATTTAAACGACTGCACGCACGACGTTGCCAAACTTACATCAATGACATCGGATGTCCAAAGTTGCAAAATACCAATACGTGCGATGTTGCCACATTCGTAGTTCACACAACATAGCTTTTGAGAACAAAAGAATACAATAGCGCAAATGAGGAGCACTCCCCACTAAACGTAATGTACTAGATTGTGTCTCTTTCTACCGCATTCAAATATTAATATCAATATTAATATTAATATCCACATTAATATCAACATTTCGATGCAAGTACATAAATAACTACCTAATTCCGACCTCTGGTAATAACACATTTTTAGTGAGCACATAAGTCATAGTTGAAGGTAAATATTACTACAATTAAAAGCATTAATTAGCTAGTATCCTAAGTAATTTAATCTGACTGGTATAAACTTGAGGTTTTCTAGATGTGTGATACATACATTATAATCAGTTTGTTGACTGTATTGTGTGTGAAATGAATAAAGAAATTATATATGATCATCTCAATAGTACTTTTGATAGAAATTTAAAGCGCTATTAATTATTGTTATAGATATTTGTATTCGCGTCGCAAGGGCGGGCGGCGATCTCGCAGCAGGTCGCGTGAACGTCGCCCGCGTCGATCCCGCTCGCGCGAGCGTCGTCGCGAACCGCCGCGCAATTCTCGCTCCGGACGATACTGACCGCAGAACGCGCGAACCGCTCGCGGTCGCGGTCACACCGGCCGGTTCTAAGAACTACTAAAAATTCCTAAATATCTTCACGGTTACATCCACTTCACTTGCAGTTAGGCATCAAAATGTGTTTATGTTGTTTGCTTTAATCAATTGCTCCAAATTCATTCATTTAATTTTCGAATATTAATACCCTAAGTATTTTATTCACATTTTAATGTTGAATTGTGAGTGGAGTTGATGTTATGTGTGAAAACCTTTAACCGACACATGTCTCTGGAAACGTCTTCTAAGCTGATAGTTCTGGATTTAACTACCACAGGAAATGCATGTAATACACATATCTAAATAGTTAATGTTGATTCTGAGACATTTCTTTAAAGACGTTTCTGGTATGCTCTGTATACAGTTAGGACTGTGTGATGGGCCATCCAGCTGATTACTCTATTTTAAAATAATTAATTATGTCAAAATTGTAGTATACTTAATTTGTAGGGGTAACATTTGGTATAAATCCTTAACACCTAAAAACTATTACAGTTATTGGTGTTTCACTGTAATTCTGTTGTGTTACTGCCTAATTCAAAAATACTTATTTTAAATTGGGCTAAAATTAACGTCTTGTATAGTATAATATAGCAAGTTTACTTCTATTTTAGTTGTTTACAGAATTGAAAACATAATCAATACATCATTGTGTGCTGTCTTCACCAACTGAAATGTTAAATAAAAGAGACTGTCGGTAGGGAATAATTTAGTATCAAATTAGACTATAGCATAGGTACATTATCAGAAGTATTTCGATCAAGTTTCATTATGACCAATAATTGAAATTGGATGATCGGTAAAATATATTTCTAGTTTTTACACTGGCGCATAGAACAGTAAGACAATTTGCATTTAAGGAAGATAGTTGTTTTAAACAAATCGTTTAATCAATAATTGATTACAGTGACTTGTGAAATGATAGATGTAATAAATAACCAAGAAATATTTTCTATTCAGGTTGATAATATTAAATTAATCTAATAATCCTCCAAATAGTTAAATTATTATTAAGGAGGTCACCAATATGTGCATTTACCTTAATGTAATGCAAATTTTGAATTACAGTTATTGAAATTTAAAGACACTGATGCTTGGTTTCTGAATTGAGAATTTAAAGTTTAGCATGTCTCAAACTGTACTTAAACGTCAATAAAACAGGTTTTCGTTTATGGTTATAGTTTTTTACAACTAGCAAACTTTTGCCATGTGAAACGTTTAAACTTAAATTATTTATGATAATTAGTTGAGATTTTGTACTTTTCTTAATTCAGAAACCGGCCTTAAGCCTCTTGTTTCCTCTTGAGGAAATCTTCATACTGCAATAATTAATTAAAGCTGCTAATCAATATACGTTATGGTCTGCTTTGCTATTCTGTTGCAAATACAGCATCCAACAAAGCGCTGTCACAGCATTAGAGATTCATTATAATAAAGCTTTCATCACCTTTCGAAGTAGGTTTTATTTAAACAACATAGTTGTGTGTTTTTTATTCGAAACTTCGGATTTACTGTGTAACCTTGTATTGGTATTAAGAGACTGTTTTAATTATTATATCTTATAATAGTAAATAAATAATAAATATTAGAGGAGCTCGATGACGCAATTGTTAGCGCGCTCGGTCTGTGATACGGCGGTTAAGCAACTTTCGCAATGGTCGGTCATAACATGGGTGACCAAATATTTATTATCTCGAGCTCCTTCGTGCTTCGGAAGGCACTTTAAGCCGTTGGTCCCGGCTGCATCAGCAGTCTTTAACACCCACCAATACACACTGTATATTTTGTCAGATCCCAAATTAAGTATCTAAAGAACTTTTATAAAAAATCTGAAAGAACGCCCAGACGTGGAGACTATAGTTATAGAAAAGTTCATTTATTACATTGGTCCGTATGGGGATCGATCCTGTGACCTCAGAGAAGGCAGTACCTTGAAACCGGCGCACGAGCCACACTGCGGAGGTCGTATATTGAATCTAGCTGCGACAGCGCTGCGTTCGACGCTGTATTTTTAACAGAACAGCACGACTGATGGGGGCTAAAACTGTCCGATTAACAAGCACGTTTATTGATATGCTATTGCAGTACTTCTCGCAAATGACTATTATTTGTAAGTTGTAACAAAATGTGTATGTTCAGTAAATATAAGTTTTATTTCTAAAAATTATTGTTTTACTATTCTTAACGGGTAGCTCAGTGACGTAGTTGATAAGCGCCGCGGCTAGCGATCGTTGTTATGTAACTTTCGTAACGGTCGGTCACGGGATGGATGACCAAAAAAATATTGTCTCGAGCTACTCTGTGCTGCGGAAGGCACGTCAATCTCTGCTGCATCAAGACCCTCCAGTCAGCATTGGGCTAGCGTGGACGGTTATGGCTCATTCTCCTTAACTATCCATGAGGAACGCCTGAGCACCTGCAGTGGGAAGGGCACATTATAATTTTTTTAAAGGATTTCTATAAGCTATTGAGATCATAGATACTATCATTGAGATAAATACAGTTAACAGCACGTCAGGTTCTGCAAAACTATTTTCCATGAAATTTAATTCACAAAGCTTTGTGTATATTTTAATAACTTTCTCTTGAATTATAGCCACCCACTGATGTAGCTACCAGTAGCTGTAGTAGGTAAAATATTTCTTTTTAAGTCGGTCTAGTTGTTGCGGAGGCTATATGACGCAAACAATCGATCAAATTATTTCTATTTATTATTACTCTACTGTTTGTGAAGAGGAATTCTGCTTAAGTTACGTAGCGTAATTATGGAAAGTCAATAGCGCTTCAACTACAACCCAAACAGGCAGTTGCACAAAAGTCCATTAAAATAGACATTATTTTAAAGTGGCATTAACCATACAAATTTGACATTCATTAGATCTTAAAGGCGTTATTAAACTTTACTGGACGTTTGTGCAACTGACCGTTAATGGCACAGTTCTTATTACCTTATCACAAAACAATAAATATATCTGTCATCATTGATTTGTGAGGAAGATATCGCACTAATATTGGATTTCAGGCAGATAGCACAAGGGTAAAGTGCAAGTAGTTAATGCGATGCCATTATTACTTAAAAATTATCAGAATTGAGGCCCTGATTTCCCTTAGTACAGTCAATGCAAATCGGGTTATGCAAAAATGTCATAAGTATTCTCCTAATTTAATTGTTGAGATTTAAGTTCAAATTATGTCGTATTTTATATAACCTTATATGCTGCTCTGTCTGTATACTAATATATCTATAATATAATTTGTCTACAAAGATATAAGAATATTATTTTATTTTACACTTTTCTTTTAATCTGTCGTATGACGATGGTAGCCGTTTAAAGCATCTATTTCTCCATAAATTTCCTCCCAAAATTTCATGTTTTCCGCGTCTTGAATTTGAATACATTTCAATTCATCGCCAATGATAAAACAATTCCATTCATTTACGGAAAATGGCTTCCATAATTCGGCATAATGTGACGGCGTGGGATTTCTGTAACAAAACAAAAACTGTAATCATTGTCTCATTGCTCAACATGAATATATATAATGGTATTTAATCTAAATATAATCTGCTAAACGTACCCTGTACTTGCAAAATTAACCCATAATTTCATAAATTGATCTATGATTTTTCTAGATCTATCAGACAACGGTATAGGAAGACATGTCACATGAAAAAGATAATGCAATTCATCGCCGTGACATACGCCTTTAACATGATCTATTTTATACAAAGTTTTCATATAATTCCTTTCAGACTCTGCTATAAATTGATATAAATATATTGGTGACGATCCACAAAGCTGGGTGCGGTACTTTGCCAGTCTGGCAGTATTGTAGGAGAATAAGACGTCTGTCATATAATCGGTAACTTCTTGTAACATTTCCGTCGTTATGTTTTTGCCTTTGAAATACTGTCTTCGGATTTTTTCTTCTATTTCACGTCTTTTCTCTGGGCCCAATTGTAACTTCAACTCTCTAGGTATGAGAATCCCCTCTATGTTAAGCATACCTATCATATGTTCTAGATTCCTCGTTATTTCCATACCCTCTCCTGATGTGAATCCTAAAATTAGTGGTACTTTGGCTATATGTCCTTTTCGAACTAGGTCAGATGGTCGTTCAGTCATGAAATTTTTAACACTCTGACATGTTTTCTCTACAACAGGCCCAAAAAATAATCCATCAGTTAAATCTATATGGTCGACTTCTAAAGGTGGCAACTTTATTTTGACCAAAGATGATGCAGGAACACTTTTCAAATATTCTAATAGTTCGTTTTCGTCCTCTGTTTCTTTCCCAAGTAGTTTGCCTAGTTGAAATGCCCGTTGACGAGGGTATATATTGTAGCTCCAGTCGTTGAGGCAGACACCGCTTTGGCATATAGCTTTGTTGAACAATCCCTCGCTCATTTTGGATATCAGGTGGAAGGAAGTGCAGGCAGAGCCAGCGCTACAACCGAATATAGTTATATTATTACAGTCTCCTCCAAATACCGTTATATTTCTCTTGACCCATTGTAGAGCTGCTACTTGATCTTTAAGACCGGCGTTGCCTGGTACTTGCTCATTATCTAGACATAAGAAACCCAGTACTTCAAGTCTATAATTGAAAGTGACTAGTACGACATCATGGGTCATGAAGAAATCAGGGCCATAGAAGTCAGAGTTTCCAGAACCAGTATAGAAGGAGCCGCCGTGTATCCAGACCATGACTGGGAGCAGTTTAGCGGGTTTCAGATGTTTGGTGTAGACGTTAAGGTAAAGACAATCTTCGCTGCCTTCCTCCATACGATCCATACGTTCGTTGTATTGTGGACACACAGGTCCGTGTTCGGATGCATCGCGCTCGCCTTCCCATCGCTCTGGTGGTTCGGGGGCCTGTAAATACACAGAATTTTCAATTTTCTTCGTCGTTTTGCAATTATGACAATAACGATATTTGAATCAACAAACTGTATGATATTAAAAATAAATTAAAAAATCGGTCCACAAAGTAGGTCTAATCATGTTTTAATTAAAACTAATATATATTACTACATATTATTATTATATATTACTTCTGAAAAATTGTTATCTAGAAAGGGAATCAAGCCCAACACTACATCAATATGAAGCTGATTTGGTATTGTAGAGCTTTTGCTGTCGAAAGTTACTGCAGTTTTTCAGTACTAGCTTATTGATGTCCTCATTGTTGGGGCCTCGGCCTTTTCTATGGAAAGAATCGAATCGGTAAGGGGCTGTCCATTAATTACGTGATGTTTTTTCAGCATTTTTTAACCTCCCCTCCCCCTTGGTGATACATGGTGAGGTTTAAACTAACCCCACAATGGACGGCCCCTAAGAGAGAATAGACCATGACCAACCACGACGGCCCAAAGCGGATTGGTAGGTATTAATAACAACAAACTACAGATACAGTTGGGACCAACGGCTTAGCATTCCTTTCGAAGAACGGTGAAGCTCGAGATAACAAATAAATTTTTAGTCCCCCATCCGATGATTAACCGATGGGATAATTGCAAATGTTGCATAATTTTAAGCGGTGAAGTCGCGTGAAAACAGCTACCTTTGCATAAAGCTGAAAATATTTCATCAAATGGTGGTAATTAGATACCTTCGAAATTTCCCCTTTTTTGTAATATTTATAGACAAATAGCAAGGTGCTTTGGGACTACTACTTTACCTACTTATAGTAATGTTGCCCTTTTTTGATGAAATTTCGAGAGAGTATCTATCCAGGAGCAGGTAATTTTAGCAATTTTTCTTTACGATCTACGTAATAAATAATAAATGACTTCCATATCCCAAGTGGGAAATAACACTGTGTAATAAAACTAATACAAATACGGCGGAACAGTATCCTGAAGCTGATTTGCGCGTGAAGGGTTCCGTACCATTATCTATGAATAACGAAAAAAAGGAGGGGAGCCCCCTTAAATATTTACTTTTTCATTATTTGTTGTTTTACAGACAACTGAAATAACGATTCTTGAGATACAGCCTGGTGACAGATGGATTGACGATCAGCGGACTTTTAATAATAGGGTTCCTTTCATTACTCTTGAGTGCGGAAACCTGAAAAACCGGTTAAGAGCGACTTGAATTCTCGCTCAGACGGTTCCGTACAAATAACTAAAAATATCGGTAATTTTTTTGACATATTTCATTAAAAGACAATTATTTTAGTCTGTAGTGTCTTTTAAACTACTAGACAGATTTTAAAAATTCTTTCACCTACGGAAAGCTACTTTATATTTTTGTGACATTGGTTACAATTTACAAAGTCGCGGGAAGACAGCTAGTTTGTTTATAAATATAAAACCTGAGAGCCAATTCTATTTGTCCTCGAATGAAAATTGTTGCAGCATAATGATTGAAAAAATTTGTTTAGAAAATTATTATTTAAAAAATGGAGCAAAAGTTTTCGGAGAAACAGGTTGTTTTCAGTTGTTATGTTGTTATATCGTACGAGTAAGTAATGTACATATAAGGAAATAATGTCAGTTGTCTGACCCACTTACCTTAAATCTCAAATCCCCAATAGGCGGCTTTGCGTATGGGATACCTTTGAATGAGTAGTAAGTTTCATTTTCGAATTTAGATGTAACTCCTTTCAGTAACCCTTGTGCAGTCTGTACACAGGGCATATCTTCGTTACAACTGCAACTGTAAATTAAAAATTATACTTTTGTATTGCATCGGAGAGGGGAGTACATATAGATTATAATGGTTGCTTATATTTTTGTATATATGTAGGTACGTTGGGCCGATGCCAACGAGTTGGCACTTCCTACTATTTAACCTTGCTCTCTGTAACTGTCGTCGATATCATAATTTGATATGGAGAAGTATTTATACAACTGCAGATATAGAAGTAAATCGGTAATACAAATAGTAACAAATAAATAATTGAGAAATTAAATAAACAACGACTGCCAATACCAAACTAAAAATAAAAGAAACAAGTTGTGGTGTGGTTTGGCAAAACAAATAATTTTCGAAAAATCATACCCGTGAAGATTATCTGCTTATCAGTGTCAAATCCTACATCCATTGCATAATAATTATCAAAAAATGCTACATTAATACGACTGCAAAGAAACATATTTCGAAACTCGTGTTCAACGAAACAGAATACGCCTTCTGCTCATTTGGAGTGCGATCGCCAAACCTATCCTTGATTCTAGCCATAGGATACAACGTGGCGATGTTATGTCGTAATTTTTTTATAATTTACTATTTTGACATGTCTTTTACTGGATAAATAAAATTGTCATTCGATTTCCGTAGCCGAGTGGTTTGTACGCCGTTTTCAAGTTGTCTCTATCTCTGAGGTCCCGGTTTACTTACCTAAGTAACAGTTTTAATTAATAAATTTGGTTTTGTTTAAGTTTCTAAAAGTAAGAGTTGGTTTAATTTGTTACTCTAGTGTCCTTATTTGTTTTTTTAATAAAAACAAAATTATAAATTTGTTAAAACTCATAAGGTATAACTATCAATATATTTCGTAAATGTTGCGACTCTTGTCATCTTTTGCTGAGCAGTTTGAAAACGTGCTCATCCTGTTGGATTTTCTTAATAAAACTAAATTGAATTTTCAACAAAAACGATCCAGAAAGGAGAATTGCGCAGATTTGAATCGATGTTACGATATTACGTTTTACATTTGTTCTAGCTAAAAAAAGGTAGCTACGTGTAGGTATGTACGTCAAAAAACTTAAGTTCTACATTTTATAATTTTTTAAGTATTGGCATGTACAACACCAATGTTAAAGTCATATTATCTGAGATATATAATAACACCTAATTTATAAATAAATTGATGGTACGCACATTGCCTGTCGGTTTGAAGGTGTGACAATCTCTGAGATTCCTATTACGTTATGATTGACCAAAAAATTATTATCTTTAGCTACGTACTCCGTGCTTCGGAAGGCACATTAAGCCGTTAGTTCTGGCTACATATGTCGTTAATATCATCCAATCCGCATTGGGCCAGCGTGGAGGGTCATAGCCCATCCTCCTTAACCATCCATAAGGAAGGCCTGAGCCGTGTGGGGACGTAAAAGGGCTGACGATGAAGAGATACTTTGTATATATTTTAAATGATATACATTTAATCATATTGCACATTCTACACTACGTCAGGTTAATATATATATATTTTTAGTTCATGTTCAACTCTACTCTTGGTGAATTAAATATTTTAAATCAAGTAGAAAATTTCTCAGAGATTTTTATAACTTGGCGTACTGTTTACTGTATACATACTGTGGACGTATCTTGATGGGATTTTCTAAAGAGTGCGTTCAATAATTTCAAATATATAGTAAAAATAAAAAATGTGTGTATCATGGTGGGGCCATCGTACACAGTGAAACAATATTACGATAATATAAATATGATACAAGTATTGTAACGGTTTGGGAGTTTAACTAAAAATAATGTTTGACGCTTAATTTCGCGTCATCTGTTTCTTTTTTAAACTGGCAATCTTGTCCGTTAATTTTAATAAGATTTTTTGTTTAATACTCAATACTCAATAAGTTTATTGTTTCCATATATAATACGACATATGACAATAGTAACAGTGGTTTAATTATTACCATTTGTAATACCACAATAATTAATAACAAATAAACATGAATACATATTAATGAAGTACACAATAAAACCTCATTATCTGTGATGTAGGTAAATATAATATCTAATATTATTGTACTTTTTAACGAAGGGGAAACAAACATTTTAGATCTCACTTCGCCGCGGGGCTGTGTACAATTTTTTTTCGGAATAGCTTTTTTGTATTCGAAGGGTGAGGTGGAGCCGATGTTCTTATCTGGTCTTTTTAGTGTTTACCCACGATTTTTTTTTATAATAAATATATATTTGAGTTGAGTCAATAATAGTTGTAAGAGGTAAATTAATTGGGACTCTATACCATGACATTTTAACTGCGATGCAAACGTATTGGCCACCTCTTTATGCTTCTGACAATCGTAGTGTTTAAATTTTCTGTGCTTCTGATAGACTAGGAACTTCTTTAGGTTATTGTTATTACAAAAACGAAATAGAAACGGTTCTTGTTCCTAAAGGTTATTTAGTGGATACTCATTGGCTTAAGCTTTCATTCTGAGATGAAATAATAAATCTATGCTTTCTTTAAAAATAATTTTTTTTTCTTTATGGCATATGCCAAAAAGAATGTCAAACAAGGAGTTTTTATCAGAAATGCATAAAACAAAAACCTACTCTATGGTTACGGCGTATATTTTTATAAGTTGAAAATCATACAACGTCTACTTTTTAAACGACTGCAAAATCCAAAAAAGGAGGTTAGGTATATGTTCGACGGCGAAGTATAGTTTTTGGTGGAACATTGTAACGTCAATAGCTCATAACAGACGGTGTAAATTGGTTCCAGAGATTCTCGCTGAAATTGAAGACTTCTATGAGCTACTTTATGCTTCGCGTGCCCCAAAGCCTTTATCCAATGTAAATCATCCCAGCTACACTTACGCGTCATTTCAATGAAGATTTTTCAGACATTGACGAAGACGAAATTGTAACGTCTTTGAAATAGGAAGGCTCCCGTTGAAGACGGAATCACATCCGAGCTCTTTAAGATAGCAGAGGTATTTGTGCTTGGACTAAAGAACCTACTTAATTTTGTCATAACCAATGGGACTACTCCGGAGGCGTGGAGCAGAGGTGTAATGTCTCTGTTTTTCAAGAAAAGAGATAAATGTCTCTTGAAGAACTACTCGCAATGAATTTGGGCAAAACTAAAATCATTTTCAAAATACATGTCATTCTGTTTTTTTCGATGGTGTATCACTCGGGGTTGTCCAGGAATACATATACCTTGGCCAAATACTGCGGTTAGTTAGACGCAACTCCATGCAAAAAATCAGCAGAAGAGTGCAGCTGGGTTGGACAGCATTTGGGAAGTTGCGTAATATCTTTTCGTCCACATTGACAGAATGCCTGTAGACCCAGGTATTCAATCAATGCGTCCTACCAGTCATGACTAATGGAGCCGAAATGTGGAATATGACAGTGAAGTTGGCCCACCGACAACATTTCGTATAGCAATCTATGGAAAGGTCTATGCTCGGAGTCTCTCTAAGGGATAAAGTCCGGAATTAGGTCATTCAGTAGAAGACTTACGTGATTGATGTCATTCAGAAACGTAAAGTGGAAGTGGGCTGGCCTCATCTGTTGCAGAACCGACAAGAGGTGGAATAGACGGGTTCTCGAATGAAAACCACGCATCGGTAAACGGAAGTGTCGGATGCCCCCCAGCAAGATGGACTGACGATGTTAGAAAAGTGGCCGGTAGAGGCTGTATGAAAACAGCAGGACATCGTGTTTTGTGGCGCTCTCTGATAGTGGCCTATATTCGGCAGTGGACTGCAACAGGCCGATATGATGATTTTTTTTGTTATTTTCCACTGCCAACTGTAATCAGTACAAAAACTATAAACAGTTTTGTTAAAGAAAATTGGGTTTGTAAGGCGGCACTCCCATCGGAGCACACTTCCAAAGATTTATAAGAGACTAATCTCTCTGTTCCAGATCCTCAATGGTATTCGTTTTAGTCTCTTTACATTACTCGTCGTATCAATGAGTGCAGTTGAAAGTGTGTTAGTGTGGTGCACCAGTCTATTTCTGTAACGTTTTGAGCATAGTTTTATTTCCGCTTTAACTGTGGGTATTTCCAAGTACTCATGCATTTCCTGGACTTTTATGAACCAGGGAACGTTAAGAATCGTACGAAACACGTAATTTTGAAAGCGCAGTAGTATTTCAAGGTTAGAGTTAAGTCCAAACTGGCTTAAGAACACTGCTATAGATCTGTACTTTGTTATTAAATGAGAGCCGGGATTAACGACCGAGCAACCAAAGCAGGGAACCTGAATCGTAAGTTTAGTTCATCACGTTTCTTTTTTATATGTTTCTGCCATGTCTGCCGTCTATCCAGATGTATGCCCAAATATCTTACGTAGTCGATGTGTGCTAGTAATTCACAACCAAGTCTGACAGGTGTGCAGTTTCCTGTCTTCATTGTGAAAGTATCATGGAATGATTTCGAAGCACTAGCCTTTATCCTCCATTTCTGCATCCAGTTGTATATTTCATATAAGTGTTTCTGTAGCTGGATGGACGCTTTATCCAGATCTCAATCACTACTCAAGACTACTGTATCATCCGCAAATGTAGCACATAAAATGCGAGGGTTATCTGGCAAGTCTGCTGTAAATAATGTATACAGTATCGGTCCCAGAACAGATCCTTGTGGTTCCCCAGCTCTGATGTTGTAGAATTTAGATCGGCTTTCGTTCACGATTTTAAAGATTCTTTCCTGCAGGTATGAATCCAGCAACGTGAAGTTTGTGTGCGGTAAACTCTTATTTATCTTAAACAGCAACCCCTTGTGCCAAAACTTATCAGAGGCTTGCTAAACATTATAATGCTGCAGGCCAATAATGCTTACTTTCTATTGTTTGCCGTATATATTTAACCACTCTATGCACCTGTTCTATTGTGGACTGTTCTTCTTTAAATCCAAATTGGTGACCAGGCAAAAGTGAATGTTCTTTAACTATGAACCTTTGAAGCACCGGCAGCAAGCTTACAGGGCGATACGATGAGAGCAAGAAATG